GATCACGGAACTCTTCTCTGCTCTAGTACTTGACGCGATTCTGAAAATTATTTACTGGTGCTAACGGGTCTTACAATCAATCAGGCTGAACGCCCAGATACCGTTACATCCCTACGTTTGTTAGGTAAGCATAAAAAAAAAAAGAATCTAAGAATCTTAATGAATCTGGTAATGAAACATGTCACGATTAAACGTAAACAAAATCCTAGGCTAAGAATTTGGTTTGTGTGTTCATAAGTCTTGTTCAAACTACTTTTGTACAGGATACCATCGCATCATCACTTTCGACGTAACAGTAACCGATACCACAGACTATATTTCTGCCCATTCCATCAGAATTGAACTTTCATTGTATTTTTAAGTAAATACATTTTGGAAAACAACAGATGTTTTTTTATTCTTCACGTGTTTGTGAAGGAACGCCTATTTATTACTTAATAATTACTTGACAGCCCATTTTTTCAAAGATACTTTAGATTAAGAATGTTTTTCGTACCTTCTGTGTAGATATAAATTAAGGACTATATGTAACTATGCTGTGTAAATATTAGAGAACAACTTATAATAAAATATGTACGTAATAATGTGATACACAGGATAAAATATTACTGAACTTGAATATCTGTTTATTTACACATATAATTGTATGTAAAATTATAATGTATTCTTAGATGTAACTGTATATATAGTAAACATATGTACTTAAGTATAATGTTATTTGTATCTGATACTGTTTATTTATAAACTAATTTCTGTAATAATAATTATTTTAAGGTAATGATAACCGGGTATCGAGTAAATGGTAATTCATACTGGAATATTACAATCGCGAATAGTCTATGTATAAAATTTACGGTGGAATGTAACCGTAGTTATTAATACTAAAGTTTAAGGCAGAAATTTAAGTATAAATTCAACGTACCTGGACGGAACATGTATTATTGAAAATTTTTTAATCGGATACATATTGGGAGCAGAGCAGTGTGCTCAGATATTATCCCTAATGCAAAAACTATATTTACAAATAAATTTGTAGTAAACATAAATGTGTAAAAAATAAAAATCAAACATTTGTATAAGCGTACAAAGATATGTAACAAAAATTAATGTTTATGGATATTTATTTTAGCTAATCAATTTGTACGAATATTGCATGCAGATTGTCTTACAATATACACTGTATTTTCTTCACTATGAGTTTTATTTTATACAATAATAATTTATATTGAGACACTTTGCATGCACGTCAAGATGTGTAGATTTCAATACACTTCGATCACAGTCACAGCATTTTGTATATCACTTAAATCGATAAATATTTGTAATTCATGATATTGAAAATAGTGAATCTTAGAAATTATATAAAAATACCAACAATGTTTATAATTGATTATCGTTTGAATAAGTATTCTACAAAATTATACAGTAATGTACTGCGATACAATCACAACCAATTAAATATTAATTACACTATATATTCGTTCGAAGAAATTTTCGTTCATAGAATAATGTTTATACAACGTATTTTTTAAAATGTTATCAAGATCAATAAAATGTACGGCTTTTCAGTCGTCAACTTCCCGCGTTGGTTTATACATATTATTTAATGTGCACAATTCTTGAATGGTGTTATTAGTAATTCTTGTAAAACTATCGGTCATGTTATTACTTTCTTCGACGTTGCTTGGCACCGCGTTTGCTCCTTTGCTCGTTTCCGGCTAAATTTAACAGTAGCTTAATTTGTTAATCATTTAATACTGGCAAATAACGAATACAGATTTGTAATACGTACCTTAGAATCTGAAATGGACAATCCACTCGATAGGTTTTCAGAAAGAGCAGTACCAAAAGCAGCAAGTTCTGCCGAATCAAGTTGATTGAAACTCAAGTCAAAACTGTACTGTTGACTGTCCATATCTAAAACGCTTGTAATATCTGTTGCTTCTGCTCCACCTGTTACATGATTTTTTATTTCATAATAATTATACACTGATTCCTGCGGCTGTGCTTGTAACATGTCATGTATATATGGAAATTGTTGTGGATACGTCCCAGTTGACGATTGTTGTACAATATGACTACTTGTTGATGGATATTGAGGCGATAGTTGTGATTGAGTAAGTGCTGGGTTGTACGGACTGTACTCCATTGGTGACGTACGACCTGGCGATACTTTTGGTCTGTATAACGTATTAAATGTTTTTCAGATTCATTCTTCTGTACATCACATTTTTAAACTAGCAGTTACATACAAACTTCCAATTACCTCAATGTTTGCATACTAGATTGTGGTTGTGGAGAAGTAGTACCTATAGGGTACAACGGGAAAGGTCCTCCACTTCCGGCTGGTCCTCCATACGTAGATATCCTTTCCATTGGCTCCGATTTGATAATATTAAAATTGCATTGAATCCGTTGATTTAATATCGCAGCATCTATAATTACGATAAGAACAAATAGATATCTACTATCAAATAAACAATTAAAATAACACAGATTTATTATTTTGTTACTTCATACAAATTATATTTGTCTTGTATATTATTTCGGTACAATTTATACTATGTTACTGTTCATGCACAATATTGAAAATTAATATTACAAAAATTATTTAATGTAAAAAATGCATGTAATGATTTATAAGCACATAAGGATTGCAAAAACATACATTTAAAAATGATCAAGCAAGAACAGGAGAAATCATGAAATTTTGAAGTAGAGGAAGGATAAATTCTAGAGAGAATGCATGCAATATTATATATTTTCACTCCAAACGTAACTCGGTAAAAATTGAGTGTCTTGTATTGTAATAAAAAATACAGTCAACGTGATTAGCAAATATCAAGAAATTAAACTAATATTACCATGTCGTACCTGAACATTTTTTCTAAATATTCTTTTAATCTGAAATTGATTGGGAGCAGAATAAAAACACGTCATTTTATCATTAAATAAGTACGTATATATATATACATAAATATATATGTATATATACACACATCATATATATATACATACATACATACATACATATATATATATATAGATTGATATATTCTGTATATATATAAGTCATACATTATACAGACATAGCTTTTCCTTTCTGAAAGCTATTTATAAAAATCTGTATTGCCATACAAATATTGCACATAATTTTCATTCTTATCATTGTATTGCTGCGTATTTTAGTACAATATCTTTATATGAGAGCAGGGCACTTGTATATTATTCAAATTATACAGCCTGTTTTTGTAACACGTTATGTTATCTTTAACAATGTACATTTTCGTCGCATTAATGGATATAAAAATAACACCCATTCGCGCAATCATCGGTAATAATTATAAAAATACAATTTTCTTTTAAATGTACAAGGTCACTGCCCTCTAGTCATTCAAGTACAAATTTCAAACATTTATATAAAATACGTTCTTAAAAAAGTATAAAACAAGATCTTCGTCAGTGCGTGAAAATATATATATATATATACATATACATATATATATACATACATACATATATATATGAGTATAGTATTTCTTAATACAATGAAGGTTCTAATCCATGAAAAGATATTACTCTTTGCACAGCAAAACTTTTTTACAGCCTTTACAATGTCCATCTTTTTTTTAATTTTGAGGCATTGTTAGGTGAAATTTTAAAAATAAAATATACAACAATAGATACAAGAAATTTTTAAATTTGACTGTTTTCAGTGTGCAAAGAGATTGGATTAATTGTATAGTTAGTATGACATGACGTAAGAGCGCTGAAACATAGATATTCTGACAAATGTAAATTCGCGATTCATAAAAATACCATATACATTTTCCAAATGTACAAGTTAGTCCAAATTTTTGGAACTTCCAACAAATTTCCTATATTCGTCACAACAATCATTACAACAAATGGGGCTTATAAGCCCATCAAAAAAATGCACAACATACTGACTGCTGGCATCACTGAGTCAGCTTATTAATTCTTTTATTCCTTATATGTTGTATATTGAATGCGAAAATTTTGTTATAGTACAAAGAAGTAGGACCAGCAATTTCGCATAAGTATAGCACAATGTACTTTAAAAAAATTTGATGACACGATGACGCCAAATACATCATTTAAACCCATTCCCGGCAAAGCTGTAGAATTGAAAACAATTTGATAAAAATACTCACGCTTCTCAGCTTCTGCCTGTACATGCTTCAAAACTAGTGCGTTTGGGCTGTTATTAAACTTTTGTCTCTTTCGCCTTAACGAATCAGGATCATCTATAAATAATTGTACATTAACCACGTGATTTACAAACATTATTATATCAATTTTTTCTGAAGACAAAAGAGCCCTACGAGTTTCAATCGAAGTTGCCTTACCACTGAAAATATTATATTTGCACAAATTATTAAATCTTTGGTTCAGAATAACTGTAGAGTTATAAGCAAATAAAACAATTTTCATATTTTAACTATAAATTAAGTACTTATTCTAAAACTAGAAACAAATAGATACTTATAAAATTGGGACACCATAAAAAACTTAACAACATCTCATAAATAGTAAAAAGCGATGCGCATGATTAAAAATATAATACGTAGCAACGCCATAAAATTTGACTAGAAGAAACGCTAGCTCTTTGACAATAAACAACAAGTTTTAGCCAAGCTTATGCTTTAGCTCCTTTTCACGATATATATAAAAGGCTATAGAAAGCAAATAACAATTTGTACCCTGACTAGAATAATATTGAATTCGTTTCGGTATGTTTTACTCAAGGTAGTACAGAAAAAGTAGCATTTTCATTAAAAATTTAATATACATAAAATGCATCTTAAGGACACAAGCACGCTCAAGTTGCGAGAATTTTAAGTTGCAATCGTAAATAAGCAACTTTGTTTAATCAGAATGCTTTGTATTTCTGAAAATGTTTTAAAATTTTATTTGCTATAGAAAAATGTCACTTGCAAATGGAAGTAGACTAGAAAATACATCAGAAACACGAAAATAAATTATGTTTCTTTTTTATCAGGATAAATCTTTCCACCTTCCACAGGACTATAATAGAAAGACATTTCATCAAATTCTGAAGCAGTTGCATGTGGTGCCATAGCAGTATACAGTGCATAATGTTCAGCTTCTGTTAATTCAATTCCATATGGTGGTGTTTCATCACCTTCTAATCTAAGCGATTTCAAGCTAGTGGTACTTACTGCACTAGATTTTGGAATTTGTAATTGTGAGCTACTTGGTATGTTATCTGTTGTCAAATAAGCAACATTTCCTGCAGGACACAAAGATTGACTATTTTCTTTGGATATATTTGAACCTGAATCTTTATCTTTCTTTACTTTTTTTGCAAACAATTTTGAAAATAGTCCTTGTTTTGAATTTTTAGTTAGAGTACCAGGTAAGGAAGGTAAAATCTTATTTGGTGCTTCAACAAAGGAATCAGGTGTCGTATGAGAAGATATAGGACGAGGTAGAAGAGGCATAGAAGGCATTTTGCGGATACGTTTTGGTGGTAAAGGCGGTAATCTCTCTTCCGTTTCCTGCGTTCCATCTCTCTTTATAGTTACTGGCGAAGGACAAGACTGATTTGGATCTGATTTTGGTACACATACGTCTTCGTATCTTCTCTCGTTTAATAAATCGATAAATTCAATGGGATTTTTCATAGCCATTTGTAAACTAGTATAAGTTTGATTATCACAAACGTCAATATCTATGGATTGATCGGTTGTATTTTGTTCAAGGGCTGCTTGAACTAACTTCGCATGTGTATCGGCATAAATTTGATCTAACTCGGCCACTTGTGTCAATAATTCATTGAAAGACTTATTACAATCTTCTTTCACTTCTGGTTTAAAATCTATTACGTCTTCTTTTTCTTTGAGAGATATCTGACCCTTTTGTACCCATTTTCCTACTTCCGAATAATCGAACCAATCAGATTTATTTTTGAATATTTCTGTATGCTTTAATGCATTTGTGTTTTCAACAGTACTGTCAGATTTAGTACGAGTTATAGTTCCAGAATTAGTATCATTTGTATCTTTGTCCATGTAATTATCATCAATTTTGTACATTCTATTCATTTGTTCATCTTCTGTAGTTTGTTTCTCTTCATTAATTGGTACTTCGTTGTTTTGATAATCAATTACGGTGTTTTTATTTTGACCTATATTTTGTGCGATATTATGACTAATTTCTATACTTCCATTACAGGAATCCAATGTATTTTTTACATTGTATAAATCGCTTAAAGCGCGTAACGCAGAAATTTTGTTATTCGATTTTTTTACATTAAAATCATCATTGTTGTTATATTCGTCGATATTGCGCGGAAATTTTGGTGTAACGTTTGAAAGTAATGCCGATTCAGTAGCTAAGATTTTACTAAATGTACTATAATCTGTTTTCTTCCTGGCAAATGCTTTCCGTAAAGACCAGAAAGCAGGCCTACCTGCACCAAGGGGTAGCATCTGAAAAGGTAACGGTTCGCTTGTTGCACCATCCGACGGTCTTTTGAGTTGAATATATACTTGCACCGGTTGTTCCACTTGCTGCATGCGATAGGTTGGTGTTCTGAATGCAATTGCTGTCTATTAACATACATTAAATTATTTAATTAATTCAATGCTTGAAAATGTAGAATATATAATCTTGCGTAATTTTATGCAAATGTTAAATGTTGTACATACTTGTTTATGTACATGAGCGGGCTGAAAATCTCCGAATCCTTCCCAAACTACTTGTCCCTCTTTCTTTTCAAAGAATCTAACTTGTATATCTTCTTTTGCAACTTTTTCACATAATAAAATCATTTCCATACCACCGGCGACTGACGCACTACAATGACTGAGCTTGCATATGACAAGATCTGACATTGCCTCTATAATATTTAAATATTTAATATTTAATTATTTGAAACACAATTAAACAGTTGATTTTTTGAGAACTAAGTATAAGCTATTAAATTAAACATACTTTTATCAAATATAGGATCAGATACAACTGGTGGTAATGGTACATTGAATTTCCCTTTCTGCGATCCTTCTAAGAAAACTTGAAAGCACAATCTAACTGCATTTAGATCAATACTAGTAGGCTGTCTTTTATGTTCGAAGCCAGCTATTAAAAAATGAAATATAATTTATTTTATACTACTATACAGTCAAATAAATCTATTGGATTTTAACTTACTTCGAAAGGGATCTACACGAATTTCCTCTCTTATTCTAAGTGCCTCTTCAATATCTTTTTTTTTAACACACTGAATACCAAGATTTGCAAATGTGACTGTCATATTTTCCGATGAAACTTCTACTGTGCAAACACCTCGTTTGCATGCTTCCTTTCCAACAAGATTATGAGGATGAGGTCTGTGTGGTTGATCTTTTGTTACACATGATACTACAACTACAGCCCGGCCTTTATATCCAACTATCTGTAATCAGTAGACTTTATTGTTATACTAAATTAATCTTAAACAAATAATACTTTTAATTTTTACTACTTACTCTTATACTAGGAAATGTTTTATTTTCTGGGGTGCTGTTTACACCAGGTATACTACCAGCAGATCTGCCCTCACATTCATAGCGAAAACGTAAAGCTTTACTTGCTGGTTGTTCTATTATTTCAACATATGGCAATAACCGTCCAGTGTTCATTTCCACTGGCAGTTGCGCTTCTCTTTCATTACATTCCACAAACCCGGGATCGGTAGTTTGGATGACTTCAACTAAATAAACAAAATATATAATAAAATTTTAGAATTAAAATCTAATATGTAGTTCATTAAAATATAATAAAATTTTCTATACTCACTGACATCACTTATATTTATATTTCCATCACTCATATCATGGAATTGTTCCATGCCTTCTTACTGTTTATAGCATTGAACAGTAGCCATCTGAAAATTAATTTTTGTTTCAATATATACTGTCATTTCATGTTGCTGAAATAATTTTTATATCATATTTCAATGTTAATAAAAAATTTTCTTTTAATATCGTATTTAATATTATATTTCTTAAATTTGTTAAAATAATAATAATTGTAAAACAATAGACGAGTCATAAAAAGTTTCTTTACTCCTCGATGTGTGTTTTGATGGTTTTATCAAAGGAGGAAAAGTAACCACATGACCCGCACTTCACAGAAACCTCGTAGCATCGTGCAAAAAAAATTTTGCGCGCGTTTTATTAAAATGAATAAAGATGCAAGTGGCTGAATATTAATAAATACCTAAAAAAAAGTAAAATGATAGCGCAGAAGGGAAAATTGACTTTGGGTTTGATTTATTTGATGTAAAGAAAATCAAATGTTCAAAAATGTGAATCGCACATCTTGGCGGAAAATATATTTATGTCGCAATATAGACGATGATTGACGTAGAACGTGTTAGGCGTAACTTTTGATTAGCACCAGCGATTGGATTAAACGCAAGTTAACGAGCATGGATAGAAGTTTCGTGTTAAACTTCTAACCAGCGGAACGACAGCTGTTCACAGGTATACTTCCAGAGGCACTGCACACAAGTGTCCCAAGGGAAGAGAAACGAGAGTAGAGGGCAAGGAGGGATGCCACGCTGATCCAATCATTATTTTGGGAAAGCCTAGGTTCGTACAAGCCGTGCAGCTATAATTAAACTATCGTAGGACAATGTGACGAGAAAGACTTGCCTGCAGCTTGATCAACATAGTGAGGCACTTTCGAATCTAAAAGCACACGCACTGTTTTGGATGATTCTTCTATCAGGAAAAACCAGTGTTCCTGAAATTTCTTTAATAAAATGCAAATGCACACTGTGCTAAGTAATTTGAAAAGATTCGAGTTAATATTCAGATCTGCGATCAAAATACTTTTATTTGCGAAGCACTGCTGCGCACACCATTCGCACGCGACATAAAAGCGTGCACGGCCGTGACTAGAAACAAGACTTAATGCGGCACAACATTTCGCTCGGACTTTGTATCGGTACTGACATGCCCGTTGCTTTTGATGGTAGGAGCAATACGCTTCGTGGATATGCGCAAGTACGAGTACTCTGACAATTCTTACTCGCAGTTAGCAGTTGAAGCAAGCGAACGAGTGTCAGTATGTATACTACACTACGTTTCGGTTTACTTCCTTGAATTTCATGCATTGATGACGTCAAATTTTTTAACATTTTATTTTCAATATTTTCTTCGTATTTTTTATCTTATATTTCATACAGGTTCCACTTCTTCTTCTTATGCATTTTTATGTATTGAATTTGCGAATTAAAAGTCATAAAAAGATTAAGTATGTTCAGTGGCTTCTGGTTTGAACGTACTAAATATCTTGGACCTAAAATAAATTTGTGTCTAAGGTTCATCGAATTTATCATGTGTAGATTAAAATTCAGGGACGTAGATAGGTTGTCAAAGCCTAGGTGCCTGGTACCCAATGACTCATACAGACACGTCACATAATCCTGTTTTATCATGTGAAATTGTAGGGCGTTAAATAATCATAAATTTCTTTGAGATTATATGAAATGTTGTTTATCGCGAATATTATGTTCAACAATAATTACTACCTATAATTTTTCACGTTATATTTTTAAAACAACTAAAAGTTTGTAGTTTCTTTCGCTACTTTTGTTATCCTTTAGAAACAAATTCGTAAATTATCTACTGCAATACTAGTTCGAGCTTTCAACACATTTCGCAATGTGAATAAAGTCAGACCTTTGTGGTTTGCGATTATACTGTAAATTAGATCTATACATTACATAACTTTTAATCGCTTCTTACGTTCATCGTTGTAGGTGTATTTGATGCATGTAATACCATGAAGTACGCATAGTATTCGATGCATGTAGTCGTGTGACGGATCGCAAAGTTTGATAATCGAAATAATTAACGTGAAGGTACTATATATGTGAAGAACTTCAGGGTGCACAATTGTTTAATTTAAAAATATCACTAGTATATGTATTTGCGTTACTTGTATAGTGGCGATGATCTTTTGTCTTTTCGTTCTCGCTCGTTTTGTTTCCATGACAAGAGCAAACAACGTTAATAGATTTTGTAAAGAGTTTACTCGAGAATAGCGAACGTGAACGTGATGCCAGAAACTGCGATCACTCCGAAAAGCTCGTCTTCCCTGAGTGCTTCGACAAACTCCAGGGAAGAATCGAACCAATTTTTTAAGAAACGATTAACGCGATGTATACAGCATAACTTTCTAACGTACTCGCAACTTCCCGTAAGATGTCAGAGACCCAGCCGGTATTATCGTCCACCGAGGACTTCCTACAGATTAGCCAGCCTTGCAACCATTAATCGTACAGCTGCAATTAGCACGGCGAAAAGTTGTCCGGATAATTCAACATGCTCGATATTTCGCTTGATTGGAACGCCACGATGCAAGAAAAGTTTATCCATGATTGATTTTTCGCCTTTGATAATGGATACCGAGAGCTGTGACCATAGGTAAAATTTTTGAAAAATATATAACGATTTGTTATCGATCGATTAATGATTCTTTCGTAATTTAGATCAGACAGTAATTCAACTATAGAGAGAGTCGAAGAAAAAGATAAAATTAAAGACATTGGTAGCGACATAAGAATCGGTATTGGTATCAAGAAGTGGATGGAGGGATTTGCAGCGTCAGACTCGGAGGAAGCGTATTCCCGATTTTTCCAAAATCCCAAAAGAGCGGCAAATTTAGTGTGCCATGTACTTATGCTGAATGCTTGGAGACACAGGCGCAACGAGGTTCATTGCCTTCAAGACACGATCGACTGTTTGAGCCAACAGATCAAGCACCTACATTTACAAATCGTCGTTTTGCGTCGACTGCTCGACGCGGAGAATAATCGTGTCAATAAATTGATTAGTGATGTTCATCGCACGAAAATGCAATTCGACGAAACACTGAAAGAAAGGAATACTTTGAAAACGGTAATCTTCGTAATATTGAATGGAAAACCGATGAGTCTCGGTAATTAGGTTTTATTTAATTACCGAAAACTTGAAAGGGAAAAGTAATACCTTCGTGCGTTTGCTAACACAAAATCGTAATACTGCGTACGAGTGAGGAATATCAGCTACGTATGATCAACTTACGGACGGTGAACATGAGAGTTCAATGACGTGTATCTAACTAGAGGGATGACGCTAGCATAAGAGCTCGCGACATGAGTTTTAGGACACGCAATAATATAGTTACCGCGATGATAGCATTTTTGGCATTTCTTGGATAATCAGGAATATCACGTGAACAAGTTTAATAGCTGCAAACATTGCTCCTCTATTAATAATAGTCTTTTAGCTTTTGCCTCGTTAAAAGTTTGTCATATTTTTGTAAAGAAAAAGGTTGTTTACACTGTTTTGAAGATCTTTCATGATACTTGAATATTTGTGCGCAAACAGGCATTTATTTTGCCAGGTGTAATGGCAATGTGCGTCGTAGCGTCCCATTAATTAGTATATACTGTACACGCAAGCGAGAAGTTGGCACCGGTCCAACATCTAATTGTGAAGCGAAAGAAGAAACTGTATCGCGACGACACCAGCATAGATAAAACCGGTTATAGATACTTTCGGGGATTTACAAAGTTCAACTTAGCACTCGGCCATGTTTTCATGAACTATGTTACCGGTCATTTGCAGGACAAGCTGGCAATGGAGGACGAGATTAAGCGTTTGACTGAGCTTTCCGAAGAGAGACTAGTCGCAACGGAGAACGTGCGAAATGAGCTATTCACCGTTCAAAATCAGCTTCATGCACTGGACGAGCAAATGTCGAGGGATCGAGAAAAGCTACTGAAATTACGAGAAGATAAAACGATGCTTCTGGAAAAGGCTAGATTTCTAAATAATTCTGCATTTTACTCTATAGACAAGCTTTAACAATGGAAGCTAGCGTTAGCTACGAGTTTACATACCATGCCATTGTAAAAATTGATTTCACTCGGTGACTCATTGTTATGCTCGCGGGAGACGAGTCCGCAAAGAGGGTGGATTCTCGGTTCGATGCGGATTTCTACTCTTTTCTATGAACGAATGAGTCATCCGTATGCCCTTTCGGGTTCAAAGAACGAACTCTGTAAAACGACTGCAAGATTAATTGTTTAAGGTTCTTAGAAAAGTACACATCTCTTGAGAGTAATGGAATTTTCCGTTTAGCTCCTTTTTCATTCGTAATAATTAATTATTTTATTATTTCGCTTTCACGAAGGTTTTGTAATATCCGGGGGTCAAGGGTGTTAATAAGAAACTGATTTACTTGTTAGATAGGTCAACGCACGAAAGGATATAGTTCGCGGTTGAGTCACACCGTTTCTGCTTCATAGGTGACTCAATAACATGTAATACTCCTTCTTTACTAAGAAAAGGGATCGATACCACTTGACCTATTAATTCTTACTCGGCGTAGAATCTAAACAAAAATCGCGACAATGCTGGCCATGTAAAATAACTCGCGTTACTTCGTGCAGTTTATCTTGATAATTTCGTGAAACAGGGATATTTACTTATCGATTGCTTCTCACAGTATTTGCTTGGTGAGTGCACATTAAAAAATGTAATAACTTTTTCAGGTGGCCGCCAACGAAATATTAGCGACAGAACAGGAAGCAAGAGCAAACAAAGCGGAATCAATTATTGGGGAGTTACAGTCGAAACTTACTGCTCAGATTGCTTTGGTCAAGTCTTCGCAGGAACATATAGATCAATATTCAAAGTAAATTCAATGGATATAAATTTCATTAATTATATTATTTCAATATGAATACTGCATCTGTAGGGAATTGAAAGTTAAAGAGAAGGAGAAAATCAAGTTGATGAAGCGCTTAAAATTGTCTGAAGATAGGGAGAGATCTTTAAACTTGCGTACAATTTCTTTGGAAGCTCAACTAGCTGATAAAGAGGTAGCCTTACAACGCATACAGGCAGCATACAATTCACAATTGTAAGTTTTTGTATTGATTATTTGAGAGTGGCAAATACTAGTTCTATTAACCTATACCTATGTTAGAACGGAACTAAACGAATTGAGAGATCGTTTGATGCGGCAGTCACAAGAAGGGGGTTGGAGTAGTAGAATGTTGCAAATAGCTGGTAGTGTTGTGCGGGCGCCAAGGGCTATACTACGAACTTTATTATCAGGTCCAGTGTAGACTTCTTAGGCTTAGTTTGGTAAGTGAGACATAGATTGCTTGCTAATTACAAAAATATTGTGATTACCCGTTGTTGCAATTTCAGTTGTAATTGTTCGAGCGTGATCGCGCCGTATTTTGAGTTCCGTATTGAAAAGAAGGTTTAAGGTTTAAAAGGTGAAACTTCGAGGCTGACGATGATGATTGATAGATAAAGGAAAAGAAAACGAGAGAAGATCTTACGTACGTATCGAGGAAGGAGTTATACGTGGTCGCGAAGAAATGGAAGGAGCGAAGAACAGTTTCAAAATGGTAGCAAATTTTCGGGTACTTTTATCATGAAAATTATCTTTTTTTTATTTATATATTTTTTTTTTATTCGTGTATTTTCTGATATCATGAGCTTTATATGTGCAAGTATTTTAAATCGAAAAGAAACGAAAGGCTTTGAAATATTTAACTTTACATACATTAAGATATTGTACAATATTGAAAACTATCCTATAAAGTTCAGGATGGATAAATAAATGCAAATATCATGTGCTTTTTTAATCTATATTTTACACCTTTTTTTCATGTAACATGATAAACTGATAAAAATAAGATACGGTCAGCATCGCTCAATTTATTGTAGAGACTTATTTCTTCTTGTTACGAAACATCAATAAACATGTTTAATAATTGATAAATAGGTGTATACGTATGATCGTAGTTGATCATATATTTTACATAATGTCTACATGTATAGAGATAAAATAAATATGTGTAATAGCACGATGCTCACAATATGCTATTTTTGTCAAAACATGTTACAGTAGATCGTAAAATCTAAGTAACCACGTACGAGTGACACAAATACGACGTGTCTGATCACATTTCTCATTATTGTGTACTTAAGTACAAGATAAAATTGATTTTCGTTTCGTTTGATAATAATATCGTTTCTGGAGTATACTTCTTCATGCTTCTGTCAGTATACTATAGTTCCTTTTTTACTTGAGGCTTTCATACACGATAAGTGAAGACACGGCACAAATTTCAGTGGAAGATTCGTTCTTATCACAAAATCGTTTTATACTTGAGTACGCCGTTAGGTGTAATTTTATATAATTTTTTCGCTAGTCGATCTAAAACATCTTTTATTGCATATATTAACTGCGACAACAAATAATGCTGCCCTACAATCTTGAGACTGGATTCGGTCGTATCCGCCGATTCACCACCTTGTTCAACAGTTTTTAATGAAACATGAAAATAAGAAAATGCTCGATGCGTGTGCTTATTTCTAATAGAAGAGGTTTGATGATCGTAATACTTAACAGTTAAAAAAATTACGGACGATATCGCATCTACAAAAATATCTATAGATCGTCCTTTATCTTAATTGTGTATAGTAAGAACTGAAAGAAAGAAGCAGTAATAAAAGAAAATACATTTTTGAAACATTGTTTCTCTTATTCACAATGTGATTCTAGCGTGGCATTTGAAGTAAAACAGTACATAGACAAAAATACTAATTAAGTGAATGGTCTCACAATGACCATTTCAGACTTTATCATGCGTATACTAACTTTGGCTAATCCGGTTCCTACAAAAAAATGTTTCATTGCATAACGATAAACGGTAAAGTTGAGTATATCGAATCCGATGGCTTGAGGAACGTGTACGTACCTACTTTTATGAGTAATGAAATTTACAATACTTTAAACTACCATAAATCTTGATAAAATAAATTGAGCAATTTAGATGTTCCTGTAAAATTGCTCCTTTTATCACCTTTTTATAAAAACGTTACCACAAGCCAGTAAAAAGATCAATACCATCATTTATACTTTGAAATATATTGGATTGTTCTTGATAGTCATTTAGCAGAACCCAAAGGACTAATTTCAAAAATTCTGTTCCTTTTCTTTTCACGTATCAAAATGTGCGATAGATATAGTTTCTCCTGTTCTCATCAACAGTAACTTACGTATTACTAAGTAAAACTATGTTAATAATATAAAAGAAGAAAAATGTTAAATAAATAGCATAATTAGATAAGACTAGAACTTAATTGACATTTAATCTCTTTAGATCATACCAAAACCTTCAGTACCTTCACTAATAGCTAATAATAAAGCTCGCTCAAAGTGATCATAACACTCGTAATCGGGTAAGCAGAGTTGATTGAAGCTGCAAACATATTTAAATTATTATCCTGAAGATAACAGTCTTAATTAAAACGCAAAGTTACCTACCAAGTATGTGCTGTAGGCAAGTTAGCAAAAGTTGGTACTGCTGTAATCTGAAATCGTGGACTTAGTTGTTGAAATCCACCGGGTGGTAACTGCGAACATCCTGTAGTAAACTGTAGTAATCGGGCCATCTCTTCCTGCGTGAAATTGCTAACTGCGGTCCAAAACCAATCGAGAACTCGAAGAAACTCTGGTGATCTTCCGTTAGCTATGTGGTGAGCACGTAGATCTGCTACACTGTACTCATCAGTTCCACACAATAATAGCTATAACGAATACGTATGTGAAGTAAGTAGCGCAAGGTGAACATTTAAGAGTAAGAGAAAGAAATATATTTATATACTTCAAGTTCGTTCTCGTCAAAAATTCCCAGAAGATTGTCGGGAATAAGTTCGTTCAAACCCCTTAAAAAATATTCCACTTCGTTTCGTATGGACCTAGCGAGTCTATGTTGCGCAAGTGCGTCCAAATAATGCAATTTTGTTTCGTTCGTTACACGAATTTTACTACCTCCGGGAATTAATTCAGCTACCTGTAATAAATATATTTACGTTGAATTATATAAGAAGTATGTTATGACAAACAATTATGATCTTACTTTTAGTAATTGACCATCTTTATCATATTCTTCTTCAACAAAATAAAGTTCCATTTCCTCAACGTCATTTTCAAGAATATACTTTATTTTGCTCAGATACAGGTCTGGATCATCTTGCTCGAAATACTATACAGAAAATAGAAATATAGATGAACTATTGCAGCTTTATATTGATGTAATAAATTTCTACAAAGGATTATACCTTGTAATGTACTCTGAGGCCTATAATTTGTGCAAGAAATGATCTTGTGAATCTTGCACGCACTAATTGTCGATAGGAACCACCAAGAGCAGATTCGTATAGGCATTTGCCCACGATTCGTCCTGCAAACTCATAATGCTTTAGTTTGAGGTGTGAAGACCGTTTGCTATTAGGATGAACTAGTGCCTGTTGTGATTCTCCAAAGGATGCAAATAAACCATTTCCCGAATCGAATAGGGCTACGCAAATTAACTCAAACCATTCTCGTCGAACACCACCCCAGTCAACACCTAGAACCAAACAATAAATGTGTCTTCCTTCGTATAGGTAAAAATTCATCTTTAATTTCTCATCGATAAAACCATACCTTGTTCACCTTGAAAGCTTATCTCAAAATTTCTACACCAATCACTTACAGAAAACCCTTTGGTAGCTTTCATAGACTAAGAAAGAGAAAGAAAAGAATAATAAATCGAAACAAAGGGTATTTTAATTAATAATTGATATTTACCGATTCTAATAATTTATCTCGCTGAACTTTCATCGAAAGCTTTTCGTGATAATGTTTCTGATGATGCTTTCGAACTTCATGATAAAAGAAATCTTGTTTGTCAGAGAAAGTTTCACTTCCACCTATGTTTTTCAACAGAAACAAGGTAAATGTAGCGGCTATTATATCTCGATATAGAGAAATTAATTCAACGGGTGGCTGACATCCATCATCGATAAAAAAAGAATCGCAACCATCGTATTGATTAGTCGAACAATCAAAATGAAACTGAAAGATATAGTTTTAAATTACTGTACATCTTATAACAAAAAAAGATTCAATGCTTTTTCGTTTCGAATCGATACACTCACCTTGGTAGATGGACAAAGCCTGAACGTAACGAGTCTCTTCGGTATAATTCTTAGTAAGTATTCCTTGATGGTAAGTTGTTTAGGAGAAATAAAACAAACGACTTTTTTTGGTTTCGAGAATTTCTCACCTTGCATGCTTAACAGTTTCGCGGCATAATAAATGTTGGGATCCTTCGATGCCACATTACTATGCACCATTTTAGCAACATTACCTACGCTAACAAATATAAATACTGTAAAAATAAAACGCGATTGAAAATAAAGTTTTAAAACAAAGTATCTTTCGTACTTTCGAGTACAATGATGTCAAAATCGCCATTCTGTAGCTGCAGTCCATCTAAACTAACTGTCGCATGGTAACAGCTACCCTTTGGGAAGCTGACTTTCAGATGAATTCTTTGACTCGGAGAGTCATAGTCAAGTTTTATGCTACAATTCGTAACAGCCGATTTGTCTATTGCATTGCCAATCTGTAATTATTAGAACCATCTCAACAGAAGTCGATTACAAGTTCCACTCGATTCTATCGACTATTCACCTACCTGAGTAATGTTAACTTGATAACCCTCCGTGGGTTTATCTCCAGGTCCAAATATACACAGGTTGTTGTACTCGTCCCGTGGTTCTATTATCATAGAGTATGCAATTCCAGCTGTACAAACTACTGTGGAACTTTGTCGCACGAAGACGGTCTTATTTGGATCCGGCGGACCTAACGAATCAAGAGTTTCATGTAATTCAGTTTCTTAGATGTACAATTTATCTCGTATAGACTTACCGGGGAGAAAATTTTTAAGAAACGGACTGCCGTGAACGTGACACAAACCAATAAGTACGGCTATTTCATATTGTCCAGCACGGCGGACAGTAAATTTCACAACTGCAGTGTTTGCAGCTAAGGGGTCGGTACCTCCCAACTCTATCAGAGTAGCTATCTTCCGCGTATCTCCCGTTACTTTGACGATCAGATTGTCTTTGTCACAAATTGGGTACGGTTGGCCATTGCGTTGATAAAACTGCAAAGCACATTTCAAAACACATTTAACTGTTTCGCAACAGAAAAATAACTTACGTTTCAACATTTGTCACCATTTGTGCTAAAATATGCATTTAGGAAGTTCCATTAGGTACCTTCACTGTGAACGTCATTGTTTCCCCCACAAGCTGCGGCTCATCCCATCCAAAATGAACTCGGCAATTGCTCGGTAGCAAATACTTTCCAGTCACATATTGCAATAGAGAATGTTTTGCCTCTGGTGCTAGAGCTGGCTGTGTCATAGCAGCCAGGGTCACTAACCCTGCTACTGACACAGAAACTACCAACATTTCGCCTGAAGAATATAACAAAGGGAAAGTTATTCCTCGAGATTCTCCTTAAATACGTGTCATATTATGCAATTTACTACAAGGAAAAGAAACAAGAAACATGTACCCCATGTCCAAGCGTCCTGATGTTGACTATTTTTCACCACGGCGCTCCATAGATCAGCCTTGAGGGTTTCTAAATCTTCCTTTGAAGTAGGCAACGTCTGTCTGACCTGCATCCATCGTTGTAGATCCTTGCCAAGAGCTGCCCGTGCCGCATTGTCTTCCACCCAATACACATCCTCTAAAGACATCACTTCCATCTGCATTAATCTAACAAAACAAGAAACAGACTTATTTCACGTTTCCCTTCGAAGAACGTAATATCTAGCTCGTGCATGTATAAACAACTGTCTGTAATACGAATGTTCCCACGTAAAATCGATCGTGGAAACATTCTTTAGAAATAAATTCTGCTCACTTTTGATAATGGCTGTGCAATCCATGGTCTGTCAGCCATTGGCGTAACACGAGTCTTTGTTGCAGCAAACGTGCGGCACGTTGTAATCGTTCCTCATCCTGCGCCGGCAGTTCCGGTAACGCGTCCACTTCGCCACAGCTCGCAAGGGACGAGATGCCTGCAACATCCGGATTAGTTTCATTCTCCGTCAACATGGACGTTTCATGGGAAGAGAGATTTGCCAGGAACTCGTTGCGTCGAGTTATTTTCGAGCGAATGCTAGTAGGTGAACAGAGACAGTTGTCCTTTTTCTTTTTTTTTTTTAATTAAACTCATAGGAATTTAGCGATAGCAGCGGGTATCTGTCGCAGAGAACGACAGGAAACGAGGCCTGATAACTCGAAATGCTAGGACGAGCTGGCTTCCTCTGCCAGCCCGTTCTCATTGCGTCGTCGTCAGTCGTAAAACCGTCCAACTGTGTAGGCTACTTAGAATGCGGTGTACGTCGTTCTCCGTTGTTCTGCTGTGCATTTTCAAGTGCATCGGGCTTGTACTTGCGATATGCACCGTGAGCAAACACGAAGCAGGTGAGGCAAACTCTTTCGCTTCGACTACGTTCAATTTCTGATCGTACCGTTGCCAATTTGGAAAACTGGGCTAGATCTTCCCTATCTTCTTCCCCGATGCGATTTGTTATTCGGAGGAAGCATAGAGGGACGAAAGTTTCCCGATATCGAATTGGGAAAGGCACGTACATACACGTATATATACATATTATATATACATATATATTTGATTGAACGCAGGGTCAGCTAATCGTTTACAATGCTCGAACGTTACTCTGCAAGTGGTTTCCAATCAAACAGCGGACGTACTCGCCATACTGGTCTTCAACTCGGATTTGCGGTACATTGGGGAACGAGCTTTCGTCAAATACGCGCAATATTTGCAGTCCTTGAACATTCACGATTGCCACATAAACGATATTCATCCGGGTGCATTCAGGGGTTTGGTTAGCCTGAAGAAACTCAGTCTGCCCAACAATAACATCACACAAGTGAGGGGGGAATGGTTCAAGGATCTGGTGCACCTGGAGCAATTAGACCTGTCCTTCAACCAAATCGGCATAATCGCCCCACCAGGGTTTAGTAGAATGATACTGCTGAAACGACTCGACATCAGGGAGAACCGTTTATCCTGCGTGCATCCAGTGACATTGCCGGGTGGTATCGACAAGCTCTATTTCGTTGGCAACCCTCTGTCTTTCAACTGCCGGAGACAGGTAAGAAGCGTGAGCGACGTGGCTCGCGTTTAAAGAATTCAGGGATTCCATTGGTTATCGAATGGACACAGATTGCAGTGCCGCGTAAATGGATGTTGCGATTCGGTTTATGTATCGATTCGGAAATTACAGCTAACTCTATGGATGCGGGACCACGGCGTGAGCTACAAGAACGAGCTGAGCGAGAAGGAAGCGTGGTTGGATAAGCTGCTTTGGCTCTGCGCCATCGGCGACGCGAGCGTGGCCAACTCGGAAGTCCTGATGAAAGAATGCGTTATCCTGAATTTATTCAATCAGCTTCGTACAGGCCTGGAAACTGCGGAATCGTATCCTTTGGCCGTGGACTGTGCTGCTGCGAGGGATGATCTGACCGACTGCATAATTGAGCAGGCACAGAAATTCAAATTGCTCACCAATGGGAACGTGATCAAGGAGCTGCTCCTTTATATCCATCAAGCTATGTCAAACGTTTAAATACGTATTAATCGCTAAAAGAGTAATATATAAACGTTAAGTGGAAGCTAAAACTATCGAGACCTGATGAAGCGTCGCGATAGTAATCGAGTTACGAATAAAAATGCTCATCCGCATGGAACATGAAAAACGTCAACGTGCAAATGTCGAGGAAATTTGTAACAAAAATGTTTAAGTACGCAAATAAAAGAGAGATATAAAGAGAAAGAGAGAAAGAAAGAGAGAGAGAGAGAGAGAGAGAGAGAGAAAGAGAGAGAGAGAGAGAGAGAAAAGAAAAGGTATCGGTGTGACGTAGAGGCTGTTTGCTCTATCGTAAGGTACAACTAGTACTTATTCCGTGGCGGTTGGCCACTAGGTGCGGGATTAAACGTGATTTTCGACGAGTGGTTCTACTTACCGGAAGAAGCGCTACCGCTGGGTCGTAGCGACATGCCGATGGACGATATCTCGTCGGCAAAGAAATCTTTGACGCGTTGTCCATCTCGGCAGCCTCGATTTTTGTCCGGCATAATTCCACCACGCTGTTCGTTGGCTCGTCAACTTTTACCGACTACGAAGCATTCTTTCGTTCACCGTCGCATCGCTCGCTCGTCACGAAGTCATCTTCTCGAAACATTACACCAACGTTTTATCTCTCTAACCTTGCTCGGGGTCGCGGATAGGGATGGCTCTAACAATATTCGCAAAGGTCGCGACACGCGAGGTCTGCTCGAAAACGGGGATACATCCCTGGGCTCGTATAGAGCGCGCGATAAATCTAGACCGGTTGCATTATGGCAGGGAACAATGAAACGCCTCTGTCCCTTTGTTTTCGCCTCGTCACATCGCGATGATCGAACGGCGAACAGCCATTGACAATTGCTCCGCGCGTGACGGTTTTGCTAACCCGTGGGATTACCATTTCGTCCGGCTTGCACGCGACGTGCAAGCGTATTCCTCGAACGTGGCGAGCGTGTATAGAAAGGCAGGAACAAAGGGGAGCTTGTAGCAAGAGGCGAACGGTGGAGAAGCATTAATCATTCTCGCAAGACTACGGCATTGCATTTGCTCGCTAATGATACGCAATTAATTTCAATTACCAGTCGGGTGAAAGCTAGCCGGGAAGTTTCGCGAGAGAGGTGACGCGCAAAGAGGTAGAATATCTGCTTGCTAACGCGGAACGGAATGATAAGGGAAAGCTCGCTACGCTTTCGCGGCCTACGCTTTCGAGAGTCATGAATATCCAAAAGGGGGACACGGTAATTCGGCTTAGCGCCGCTTTCCTGCCGGCTCGAACGGACCAACTTCCCTTCGTTTCGGGGATTTCGTGTCGCCGGAGTCGAAGGATTAAGCTTATCTGGTCGTGTGCGAAGCAATCGAAACTGCAAGGGGTAAAAGGGCCACCAAACTTCGTTTGCGAGATATTTCCAGCGGGATGAGTATACTTTTGCCCGTGTTGACCCAGATACGGACACTCGATCCGGATGAAAAGATTGGTAGCGGTTTCCACGGATTCTTCCCTGTGCACCCGGAGCTTTTAGGCCGGTCGATCAACGATGCCGAATAAGCGATCGCGGATCGATGGGACCAGCCAAGGGAGCGATTTAATCAACGACGTCGAAACGTTACTATGAATTAAACGGTCCCCGAAAGCGGGTCAAGAGTCCACTCGAGGTCAAACCGGGGTTATCGTACCCGTGTTTTCCGCGCTCATCTCGTTTCCCTTGCACAATTTATCGTCCGACGTGTACCGCGCCAATTGCCACCGATAAAAAACGATTACGGTTCAGGGTATAATCGTTACACGCAGCTGCGGGATAAATCGGTGCACCAAGGCTAAGAAATCGGTCGGAGCCATTCCTTTCCTTCTTCTTTCTCTCCTACCCTTCCTTTTGTCCCTCCGTTTTTGACGTTTCATCGAAACCACGCGAGTAACAGCGTCCATGCTTGTATACGCGAGGATGAAACAGCTGATAATACCGGGCTCCGAGATTACCTCGAAGAATGGGCAACAAAGGCGCGTTCGATAGAAACCGTGACAATCATCTCGATTTCGATCTCGATATTCCCAACGATTCTCTCCTTCTCTCCTCCTCCCTGCCACGGACCGGAGAAAAGGAGGAAATGATCCGCAGAGTATTACAGGACTCGGAGAGGGATAAGTGTTCCATTAGCGAGTCCATCAAAGCCCTCGAGCAGCGAGATTTCAAAGGTAAAAGAAGGATGTGGTCTCCGCGTTCTTGAAACCTCCTTCGCCTCCTCCCTCTTTCTTCTCGTTTCTTCGACGAGTCGTGGTCGTGTGGCGGGATATATACACGTGGGGGACGAAAAAGAGGAAAATGTAACGCGGTAGAAGGAAAGAATGAACCGCGTAGCACACGGCAAGCTCGCGTGGACTCTTGACCTTTTCGAACGGATATCCTTCACTGGCATTACTTCGTGCTAACGATCCTTTCGGTACTAAGAGGGGTAGCGACGGCGTTGGAGCAGCGGCAGGAGGTGGAGGTGCTAGTGGGCAGGGAAAACCAGGGCATACGTATGTCATACATTCTCATGATTATGCACGAGAGGGTTGCCGGTATTATGAAGGTAGGACAGATCGATTCCAACGTTTCCACGCTTTTGTGTCTATCCTTCGCCAACCACCGAACGCGAGGACCACGAAATTGCAACGTTTCGTTTCCCTCTGCTTAATCCCCAACTTTCTCCGCTACTACTATTTCACGGCATTTTAGCGCAGCGATACGCGATACCCTGGGAATACCCGCGCCCCAGGGGCACCGAACAAACTTGGTGACACAGTTTCGTCACCGTGGCACGCACACCCTGCTATGCCACCGCGTTAATGGAAGCCGTGCACTCGTGTGCCGTTGGTTCAACATCGTCCTGATTAAACGCTCCTATTCGTAATCACGATTCCTTCCGCTTTTTCTCTCTGCTTCCCTTTTCACAGACGCAAGAAACCAGGTCTAAGCAATCCGTTGAAAATCCGTTGAAAAGAACTTTTTCGAGGACCCTCCGGAATTAGCTCTCCATAGAGTTCGAATGAAAGCAGCCCTGAATACCCTTCCCGCGAGAACGAGCGATTGTTTCCTCGACTAATTAAAATCTTCCCGGCTACTCCTGTGGTCCGCCTATCTAGGCGTCCTCTTCGCGGAGCACGAGATCTTCTCGCGTCGCCATTTCATTTATACGGTACACTGACACCGTCGATCGTTTTCCATCGTTATACCCTATCGCTGTTCTCCATCGTTCTTCTTCATCGCGGGTAAAAGTCGCGATGAATCGATTTAACGATCGAGAAAGTGCGTGACGCCCGCGGAAACTTCGAGCTTCACGGTTCATCGATACAACTGGAATCGAAGATGACGCACGTTCGAAGGATATTTTACTTCCGATTTGATCATCCGTTTCGTTCGACTTTCCAAGCGAGATAACCGCGGATTCCAGGTGCACGCTATCGGGTACCAGGCTGAGTCGTAATTCATCGGCTGCGACGGTAACTTTTCGCTTTCGGCTACTCGCGGATCCAGGGGAAAGAGCCGGAACAAGCGGGACGAGGTAAGAAAGAAGGCTAAAAAGCGAAGAGGTAAGAAAATTCCATCATCGTGAAGAAAATTCCGTTCACTCTAGTAATCGAGGGACGATTAACACGTGGCGGTGAAATGTAATCGGTGCACGGAATTTGCCGTGTCGCAGACAAAGATAACGTCGAATTCGCGCTGGTTTATTGCTCGACTGGATCGTATTTGCATAATCCTCGAAAGCAGGAAATAATGCTCCGCGCGCGGATTTTTCCCATGAAAAACGCCCCGCGAGATTTATTGCCGCGGCTATCGCGCTGAAACCTATTGCAATGCGAGGATACATAAATCTCGAGGATGAAAAACAATTCGATTTTTTACTGGCTGAAAAATGCATAAACAACTCGACAGGGAGATCGATTCGGAGGTCTCTTCCAAGACCGACGTTCCGTTTCCTCGACGGAATCTCCGGCTCCGGATCGAATCTAATTTGCAATTCCCAGGAGCGTGTAATTAAGTGCTACGAAATGGTTTCCGACCGTTTAAGTCCCAGTCCCTAGTCGGTTTTCCGCGCCATTTCGTCGACGCGGTTGCGCCATGCTGGTATCCGAGTGCCCCTTGCAACCCTCTTCCGCAGTTGCGATTACACCGGTAAAAATACCGAGGAACCTCTTATACCCGCGAATCGTTACCTCCCCGATACTCATTCGATAATACATTCCGCCTGCGATGGTATGACAATTAATTTTTAACATCGCACGAAGCGTGTCGGGAATTACCTCGGTGTTCCTTGCTAAGTTCTCGAATTTTTCTGCGTGGAAACGGCGAAAGGTTAAGGTCAGCTATAGAAAGGATCGATACTTTTCTCATCGGTCGTTCCTTCGTGCAACGTACTCACACGCAACATCGGCACCGAGGAAATCGATTTCGCGCGCGCGATCAAAGGATCCATCCGTTCACACGTGTTTCCGATGTCTCTATCGGCTATCTGCCATCGACGGAACCTGGTCGATACATCGAAACATCGAGTAGGTACTATCTGACTGTGTGTCCTCTTCGGCGCACGCGATCGCAGGACTTCGCTCGTGGACGTGGTTGATTTATCACACGGATATCCTCCGAAATTTTCATTCCGCTTCGTTACTTTCGAACAATGCGGATGCGGAAAGTGGTCCATCGTAAATTACACCGTGGAGAATGAGGAGACCGCGGGCTGCCAGATGATTCCTCCGCGTCGGGCCAAACGATTCTACCGGTGCAACGGTTCGCCAGCGGTCCCAGCGGTTCTTGCACAACTTCCTGGAATGCCGCAGTTTCTTCTTTCCGTTGATCCGCGTACGTACGTGTTCCGTGCGGAAAGTTTAAGACGATACGTCTATCTTGCCGGAAACTCGGCCGAATCTCGAGATTCGAAAGGGAAGCTTGGACGTTAATATAGAACCGACGGAAGAGATATTATCCGGCATGTTTTCCCGAATCGTGGTGCTCGTGGGCAAACTAGCGTCCAAAGTGTCGCAATGCAGGACGCGTTCGCGGTGCTCCAGGCGATCTGTGATCTTTGGAATTGCTCGGACGGGGTGACGACGTCGCGTCGGGTGGAATTTGCGAAGTTCGCGAGCGTTATCGTGACGTCAACGTCTCTCTCCTCGTAGAAATGTCCCCGTGACCTCGTGCCACTACGCGTAACAAAGTTTCGAAGCGTGTGACAACACCTACGCGATCAGGAGAGCCACGTAACGCAAACAGAACTGGGTGAGAGACGCTTTCTCCAGAGACCCTCGAATCGTGTTGCTTTTCTCTCGAAGAACTTCGCCAGCAACGCTTTCCGGCAAACGTAACAGTTCCTGCCTCGAGGAAACTTTGGTAAGCCTTGAGCAAACGTTGCCTGGGATGGGCGCCTGGTGGCTTTAGTCGGGAAGAGGGGCTAAGTAGCTCGCAGAAGCATGCTATCGCGAGGGATGTTGCGAATCGAGGTAAAGGATCGAGGAAGAACGTGGTTCGATGTTCTACGGGCAAACGCTGACGCGTTGTGCCGAGTAATCTATCCGCGAGTGATCGAGCAAAGGTTCATACGTTCCTCGAGTATGACGCGTAGGAATCGTGACGCGAAATGAAAGGATAAACGTGAGAGCTGATTGCTAGACGGTTTAAAGATGATGAAGCATCGCGATTGTGTTCGATTGTGTTTGACGAATATTGGTCGGAGTGAGAGGGAGTACACTTACGGATTCGAATCGACTTTCTGTCTCGTCACCTGAACACTGCCTTTCCGCCGGAGAATCGTGACAACTGGAAGTTCGCGATGAAAGATCACGGCGGCGGAAAATAAAAGGTGGAAGCGGGGCACGCGGCTAGATCGGCGTCGAAATGCAGTTCTCGGGCGCAAAGAAAATCGTACCCCTTCGCAAGAGGAGCGTGGAGACGCACTTGTTTACGATAGTAATTACGATTTTTCGCTACTTGCTGTCTACCGAGGCTGACAGGAGTTCTAGGACGGCGGGGTGAAGCGATAGGAGAAAGTTGCCTTGGAAAGAGATCGAAAGGTGGTGTCTGGTGGTCTAGAGGAGGTCTACGGTGTTGGTTCGATGCACGTCTCGAAGTCGAAGTACACACGACGAAGACGTGAATAATAATGTCGGGGAGGGGGCGGAGTAGAGGGATGGCAAAGGTGGTCGGGGGTGACAAACGCGAGAATTTCTACGACCGACTCGACGCGTCTACTAAGGATCAAGCGGGCCAGTGTGTCAAAGGCTCGATGAACGCGCGAACATCCGAGGCTCGTTTACGGTTTCACCGTTCACAAGGGCTCCGTTTGTATGGCGGTTCATGCGTACGCGCCCTTTGGCTGCGCGCATAATGCTCACGTCGTTTGCTTCGCGATTAAACGAGTCCGCGAAAAATTTGCGAAGGGGCTAGTGCAAGTGCTTCCGCCGTGCGAGTGTCTTCACACCCGATAACCGAGAGCGATGCGACTCGACGATCCGCTCGCGCGGACTCACGCTAGACGACTGCATGCGATACGATTACGCGGCCAGAGCCACCCTCTACCACCCGTTCGGTACTCCCACCAAGCCCCGACCACGCCACAAAGACCATGCCAAGCAAGCCGATCGCCTTTCCGTCCTTCGCGTCTTTCCGTTCTTGTAGAAACGTCGCCACGCCAACAACTTCCTCCTACCTCTGCTATCGGCTTACCCACGCCACCCCTTCTCCCAATTCCCTCCGAATTCCCTCCTTTTTCTCTCCTCTTTACGTCCATCACCACCGTCCTCACGATCGTCCAATCCTCTACCTTTGGCTACTGCTCTCCGCTTTTTACCCTTCGCAAATCTGCATTCGCGAAAAATCGGAAATCAATGGAGTCGAGTGCTCCCGAGTACAAGATGCACCGATTCATTGACCAGAGATAGAGCATCGATTAATTCGGCCCTACGCGTGTTCAAAGAGACTTTCGGAATAGCACCAATCTCGGATTCGGCTCTGTTATCGGACCTAACACTGGATGCCCTGAATTTTTCCAATAATTGCAGCGCACTTGTCGTCCAATCGTAAAGAAGCGCTCTTGTTTATATTGGACTAGTCACGTTTAATCTCCAACGATCTACGATCGATAGGCAAACCGGATAGAGCGGAAAGACTATTGGGAGAAGCTAAATGCTGATTGAACGAAATCGTTACTTTACTCTCGACAAGCCAATCTTGCTTTCTGCCGTGTCGACGGAACTCTGCACTCGGAGTGCGGCGAAGGCATCTCCTCGATTATCCTGATTGCTGAACATTGTAGGACCAGCACGAAATCTGATCCGCGTATGGATTAACACGGCTATCAATGTTGGTTGAATTGACAGGAAAATGTTGCCAGTAATCTATCGGATCGTGTCAGTTTTTGAACAGTGGCGCAGTTTCGTTTAGTCTGACGAGTTTGGCACGCCAACGACGTTTATTATTCAGCTACAAGGGTACCGGGTTATTGGGACTTGGTCGCTTATTGGTCAGCAGATGTACGATAGTTCCGGGTCAGTGATAACGTATAGTGATTGACAGGCCGGGAAAAGTAAAGGGGTTCGTGTATATGCAGACGTTTGCTCCCGAAGGGGTGAGAGCAGGAGCAGCGTCCCCACTCCGTTGACCCAAGTGCAAACAACGCGCAGTGACATTGCCGCAGCTGGGAACTTCCGTACTCATTCGTTCGTCCCACCAATAACGAGGTACAAAAGTCTAGCCCCGAAGGAACGTTCGCGCAAGCGCTTATGTCCTTGGCACCAACCAGGGCCAAGACGATAAAAGTTCGGATACTGACGCAGATTTATCATCTCGATTCGCTTAAGCTTTCGAGTCTAATGAGAAGGGCACACGGAGGATCAGAGTCGAGATGAAAGTTGCAGTGGAACTTCGCACGTGTCCTATGTTTCATCTTCTTCCTTGCTCGTCGTTTTCAACGACATTTCATCTCAGATGCATCTTCGTTTCTCGTCTAATGAATATTTATCGATATTTCATAATTTATGTAGTTCAAGCAAGCATAAAAGAATTGTTTAATAAATTATTTATGTGGAACGTACGTAGTATCAAAGTTTGAGATGTCCATAGGTACTTAAGATGTTAATAAATTCCGGAGCACCACGGTTGTTGCCACAGTAACGAATAAGGTTCGTACGAGGGTTCTCCAAGTTCACGTTACCGTATGATTAACATTCTCTAAAAAGTCAATAACTTCGCGCGCAATCAATGGTATATATATACGAAACTTCTTTTTATGAAAGACATTGACTACGTGCCAAAGAACGGATTCTGAGGTTAAAACGTACGATAATGAAAACCTATTCTCTCAGCATAATGTATGGTCGGAATGGACGTTCCAGAGATTTGGCAAACAATAAGCAGCGATGTATCAAAATGTTATCGACCGCTATTCGACAACGGTCGATAATTTCATGGAAATCCACGAACCTGATTTTTAATCCAAGATATATCTGAAATGTCGGTTTTCAGTGGTAATGATTGTTTACGAACTAAAAAGTCTATTTGTTTTTGTGAATTATCAAATGAATATCGCGCGTCGTGTGATGCACGATATACGAGGAATGGCGTAATGAAAATAGTAAAGTGGCAAAGAATTTCTGACCTTTCTCTTTAAACAGAGGTCGATACTGTTTCAATCCAATTTCAGCAAGCCATTGATCTGCTTCGGTGAGATCTCCGCTGTTTCCATTTTCGGTGGCAAGCATCAGAAGTTTGCCAAGGGACAAGACCATAGTAATGGCCAAGAATACCCCCGATAATACAGTCGACCATCGTGCCATTTCCTGACGAGTGCATCTTCAAAACCAAGTCATAAACTGTATTCACATACGGCGTGTACACATAGTTATACTCATTAGTTATTAACAGGTTAAGCGTACGAATTTGAGGTTATGTTACCACGGTGTTTGTAAACAAATCTATGTCGAAGAATGTAACTAGCGGTACTTTACGTATATAAGCTTACCACATTTTCAGAGAGCTGGTACTCGGTGCACGATGCGATTGACAAAACCCGGCTATCGTAATTTTACGCACTAACAACTTACATAGAGAACAGAATGAGGATAACTGCAGATGGAGTGACAGGTGGAGAACACTATAAGTTCCTAGGGATTTCGTGCGTCGGTCTTCTTCTTAATGGACAGACTGAAAATCAATTATAACAAACTTCCTTAACGTTAGTTGATGCCTTATTGAATATTCGATATTGCGTAGAATGTCAAAACTTACGTGTTATCAGCTTTTTCTAATGCACGATTACGGATAAGATATCTTACAGATCTATTGCGTAATGAACTTTTATACTACACGACATGGCAGTACGAGAACTTCCTTATCATTTTAGTGATATTTCCAACGTTACCGATTAAGCAGACCATCAAATTACATGAGCATATTCTACCGTTTCTTCGACGCACTCGATATATTCTCAATGCTGTGTCGATAATATCACATGCGACACAAAATAATAACGAAACCAGATGATCTTTCTTTCGATCTATACATATATCTCGACCTATTACGATTAATTCCTTGAAATATTTTACGAAATCCTAGATTAAAATATACTACCTCTTTTTCAATGTGAATAGATATCTGACTTATCTATTGTTGATAACTACGTTTAGTCTGCTCTCTAATGCTTGACGAAAACAAAATTCACGAACACTGAACTATACATTGTGGTTGATTCGTACCTTAATTCAGTTTATGTATATTAATGTGCATATCGTATTTAATGATATGTATACAGAAACGGGAAAAGATATCGTGTGAAGTATAGAAAATAATATGATTAAAGCTACTTAGAAAATCTGTTAAGGAATATACGAAAAATAAATTTTAACAGTTATCTTCTAACGGAGAAGAATGCGAAATGTTAACATTTATGGTATTCGAGGCAGGAGAATATCAGAAACGAAACCGTAAATTGGTTGGCAATAAATAATGGGTAGGTCTTGTTCTGTAATCCAGACCAGTAAAAGAGGCTGCGTTAACGGTCCACGAAAGGGATCACAACCGGTGTACGGACACTGAGTCAACATTGTGATCGCTTCCGCCGTGTGTCGAATGTGACCGAGTTCTTCGTAAACTTGACGTAGAAATAGATTTATCGGACAAGGGTAAAAAGTGTCTTGAAATTGTCAATTTTTATCTAACTGGTATCAATTCAAGGTCAAATACCAGGAAAAAGGCATTTAATCTATTTGATGATCGTAGAACCAATCGCGCGAAGTAGTCCGCTATATTTCATACATTTAATTGTTGCAATAACTTATCATATGGTAAGGTTAAGTACTGCCATTTACATATCATTTAGATAACTCGAGATTCAATGTTATAAATACAAGTGGACTCGTTTGACAAGTATCTGTATAAGGACTATATATTAATAATAACAATTTAATATTCGCTTCTAGTAGTATTTTATATTCCATACTACGTTTCAGTTCGCTTAATGACGACAATAAACTCGAAGCGTGGGATTACTTACCCGTCGGGCAGCGTTTCGAAGTAGGCGAAAATTATTATCGGAAATAATGTAAAACACGTCGGTAACTTATTAAGCAATTCGTCAAAACCGTGACAGACGGTTAACGAAGTATCATCAAGGGAAATAGAGGCCGTTATATCGTACCGAGAAGTAATTACGTAATTCTGTTTCATGCAACGATTCACGTTCTTAGTGCGTGTACGTGCGTCAAGCTTTTATAAGTACTCAATTTAGTCACGATAGATAAAGAATTGCAGACACGCAGCCGCTTAATAGGTATATCCGATTACTGGCGCCGTTACATATGCATTTTAGATATCAGTAAGTTACCCGCTCACAGGCACATTTATCTATTTTCAATCACGCGACTCGGTATGCGGATAATGCCAATGCACATATACTGCTGCACACAATCGACGGTGTTTTCATCCTCGCATGGTAAAATAATCTGTAATATACCAACGAACCGATAAGGAAACAATACACATGGAAATGAATCGTGACTTACTCGCGAGTTTTTCTCACACGTGACATTCCCTTCGACATTTCTTGGACACGAAGCACGTATACATTAGAGTTCTGTTACCCTCGAGTTGACAGTCTGGTTTCGCATGGGAGGTGTCAATCGTATTATGCCCGCTTATCCGCTTAGTTACCGTGAGCAAGTAGAATCAACAGGTTCCGGGAGAAATAAACATTAGAGAAAGCATTTGTTCCACAGTCGACAAGGCGGTAATTAGTCTAGATATTTTTTCACGGGATACAACAATGCTCGAAATACATAATAATACCTCTGTCCGCTAGGTGGATCACTATGCGAAGAGGTGAGAGGTCCCGATAGTAATTTAACGAATGGCCGAGCAGCGGCGCTGTCTTGGGGCAAGCGCGTCGTTTTGCCTTGTCCAGTTGCATAGTTTATGAGTTCCCCTGTATGGTCATGAACATGGGACACCATACCACACCGCTATACTTTGCTTTGACAGCGGCGAAATGTTTATTTAATACATGGAAATTCCCGATTCCTCGCTTCGCTAGCTATACACGTCCGTTTCAGTCTCGTTGGCCCGACCCACAAATCCTTTCATTTTTCTCATGCTTTCCGCAATGCTCGTACATCCACCACCCCGTAAATATTTTCTCCCTTCGGACGGAATACGTATGAAGTATATTCTCCCTTGGTATTTCAGTGCAATTACTATCATCGCATTTACTTAGCGATTACATCCTTCGTGAAAGAGAATCTAATCCTCATACACGACGTATCTTTTTCGCGTATCTAAAATACGTATATCTAATTCTATATTTTTTGCACAATTATCTGTGATTACGGATAGCATGCTTACACGAATGTACATTTAATACCATTCATTCGACTCGAGCGATCAGTAATATCTGTTTAGATCGATATCGGGATAAGATAAGCTCGTAAGTAGCAAAGTACTTTTGCATTAGTTTCGGTGCAAAGTGCAGTCATCAACACCTCTGCATGTTGTACAAGAACTCGTGGTGCTGCAACCACGAAAGTCGGTAAGTGGGCAATTACCGAAAAAACTGAATAACTCGGTTCAATCTTATTTCCCTGACAACTTTCTTTTATTTCTGGACGAGCGTCGATTCTTCTTTTGCAACTTTAATCCCAAGGGACTGGAACGTTGAAATTGGACGGAAGCGAGCACCTTTTCATTCAAATTTCCGAATGCGTTTATCTCGATAAACGAAAGTCACGACAGAGTCAATTATCGTGTGACTCCTGAGAGCTTCCCTCCAGTTGCGATCTGAGGAGAAGAAGAAAAGCGTGTAAAAACGTAATGAATATACAATTTTGTAATTCAGATAAAGGGAAGAAAAAGCACGATTTCATATACCATGGAGATATAAAAGCATAACTCTTGTATCAAACTGTCTTGTATCAAACTTCGCGCGACAGCGGTTCAACGCGGAGGAATCTTCAAAAACGAATATACGTGAATAATCTTCGAGCGATCGGTTGCACTCGAATATATCACGGTTTAACGGTGCAAGAATCATAAAGCAAGGGTATAACGATTAGAGTACACGTCTTGCACTACACGCGACTCTGCTGCAAAGACTATAAAATCTGGCCTAAATACTTTCCGGGAATAAAAGTACAGCGGATGTTCCAAAGGTTGGGGAAAAAGAAATACGCGATCTAAATGCTTCTGATCGTGTATCATATCCACGAATGCTTCACAGGTGAATATTCATCGGTAATTTACAAGGTTAGATTTATCGCGCAACACTCGGTTGATCACCGTAACCATCGCGCTTACAAACGTGTTTAATTATCATTTAACGTCTTAACGTTTCGACGTGATACGACGAGGGTAATGAATGTTAACCACGGCGTGGCAGGGATATTAATTAATCGCTATAACGGTGCACAGGTCGACCGGGATAATGTTACAATAATTTACGATGCCGTGTCCGAACCGATATCACAGGTGCTCGAGCACAGAATCGGAATAAAGTGGATCACCTTCATGCGGCTGACCTAACTTGTTCGTGGCGTCAAATTATCCTGTTGTCGGATTGGTATTGAGACTCCGGCTGTAGGACTCTTTGATCTTCCGAGGCTTATCGAACCGTGTCGAAAGGAAATACGCTGGAAAATGTAGGCATTAAATCGAAACACGAATCGTTTATGCAATTACAGAACAATGCGAGCACCCCGCCGATGTGCACACACACTGATAACTTAATCTGTCGTCTGACTTAACAGCATTCCTACCTCTCTCATGTCGGACGACTCTGGCTTAAAGCGGAATGAAAAAATCTTGCGCAAAATAGGGTCGATCGCAATTGATTGCAAAATTGGATTGCGAACAAAAGGCGCGATAGCTACGTGCACGCGAGATATACGAGGGCCGGTGGTGTAAGAAAGTTACGAGCACGGCTTGCGTCGAGCATCATTTATAGACGAAGGTAATGAATCCATTCAAATTCAATTCGCCTGAAGAGCGTTCTTGCTCGGCCGACATGCACACGTCATTCCGACACATCGCGCTGAGCCGCTTATCAATCTCTCTTCATTTTTCGTCAGGCACAAAGGTTACTCTTCGTTTCTTCCTTTTTCTCTCTACACGGAGATACACTCTCGACGAGAGTACTCTCTAAACAATCGTAACGATGGCGAATCGATCACGAGCCATACCGGTGCTTACTTTCTCCAGGATTTTCGTGTATTCATCGCGGAAAGGGATCGGTGAGGTTCGTCGATGACATTGGCGGAACAAGTGAACCGTGGAGAAGCAAAGTTTCGTAATGACATCGAGAGGACACGGCAAGGAGGTCGTTGCTCGATCGTTTGGTCGTTTTAAGGCCGTCACGAAACACATGCAAAAACATGCGAATCGTTACACGTAGACGATCACCTGGCCCGGTTGATCGCGGTACCAGAGTGAGAATACACGATTCCCGTGATCGAGACTGACGATCGTTTCGCCGGAACGCGTTGGCAGATACGGGAAGGTAGAAGTAAACTTGGACGAAAGTTTTTCGGCTAGTCGAACGTTTAACTCTGGATGTCTGGAAACTTGAGTACAGTTACGACTGTGTTAGGCGAGGCTACCGCGTTAAACGCGCAAGTGGGTTAATGGTGAAGTCCACACGAGTGAGAAGAGACCGATACATATGTACACGCGTTCATTTTACAGTCCGGCAGATACTCTGACAGTTGATGTTGATGAACGATCCCTCCCGGCCTTCGACGGTTGCAGGCAGCATCGATGGAGAGGTTCGGTCGCAGCTGCACCTGCACCACTCGAGAGCGAGCGGCCCCGCTATACATTTGGCCTCTCTTCCCTTGGACCACTGCCACACTTTCGTGTGTAACAACCGGTGTACTGTGCTTTTTAGTCCTCCTTCGGACATTAGATGCCCGAAACTGGAGCACCGAGATGCGATTTCGTTGAATCTAGGAAAGTGTCGGAATAAAGTTCTCTCTTAGACGCCAGGTATTCCGACAGACCGGAAGGACCCTGGGAAATGCGTTATTTTCGATTGTTTCGCCACCGGTGGGATATAAATAGCGCTTGGATGGAATAATCGAAGAGTGCATCGTTGGGAAATTACATTTAATCCGACAGACGTTCGTAAGAAAGTTCACCGGCCAATTTCGTTTCTGTACACTGGATAGGTAATTATGTTTTTATACCTGTATCGCGTGTTATCCGCGAAATCTCGCTTAATTAGTCATTATAGACAGTGGATATGATAGAGGAGGCGAGCTTAAAATGTTCCTCGCCGTGGCGAGCGCGATGCTTGTTCGTCTGCACGTGAAATTAGTGGTTAGAATGTAAGTAGGAAAGGAGATTAATGTCGCTGTCGGTAACAAGAAAATTCCCCGTAATCGTTCGATTAGAAAGTGCACCCGCTAAAATGTAAATGGACAACTGCATCGGGAAAATGGCGTCTTCATCGGGCAGCCGAGAATATTCCACACTTTTAATCGCCTAACTTTCTCGATCGCGTCCACGCTGAATTTCCACTTACTTCCTCTGACTCATCCGTCCCGCATCCTCTGTAGGTCGATTTTAGGCTGAAGAAAAAGCGTCCTCTCGCCGTACGAAACGAACAGTCTCCAGCCAGAGATGGTAGAAAAACGTTAATTGCGACCCCGGTTATTCCGGATATCGATAAAGTCGATCGGTAAAAGACTACGTAACGCCCGGATTGCCGCAGTCTCGGGCGACTGGCAGACGCACGAAGCTAGAACAGGACATCCCTTCGGAATCGGGAGAGACGAGATCAGAAAGGCAGAAGTCCGTTTCCTGGAGATAAAGAAGAAGCAGTCGAAGAAGAAGAATAAGATATCACGCAGTGGAGGAGGAAGAGCTGGCTGGCCTAGAAACGGTGGTTCTCCGATCTCCGATCTGTTGGTGGGTTTTCAGGCTTCTTCCCGTCGTGCCACCTCGTCCAGCTACCCCTCCACCGTTTGACTGGCCGTCGTCGACGATGATGGTAATGGTAAATGGCCCATGGAGAGGCTCTCCAGTCCGCGCCTCCACTGGAAACGGGAGCACGCCACGTGAAAGTAGGAAGGGGAGGCTATAGCCGGACCGACGTCGCTTCGTGCGCCTCAGTCGTTCGTGGACCTCGAAGGACGATAGAGGTCGAAGAGGGCACTTCCTCCTCTCCTTCCTCACGGCGCCACCACCATCACCTTCTCTACCATCTTTCCGCGCCTTCGGCCTTATCCTTCTTAACCGGTGGCGAGAGCACGAACGTCGTCTGCACGCACAATAAGATAATCGTTCGCAGCCGTCCGCCTACTGCGCTTCGAGAAAATTGACTTATAACGACGTCGTTGATACACGATCGTGGCAAACGTCCAAACGGATCGTCGACAGTACGAAGGATGCAGCGTCACATCTCTCTCCTCGTTGGGATCATCTTGCTGTGTTGCCTTCAAGGTCGGTATCGCTTTTAACCTCTGCGCTACAATCCACCGATCGTGTGCCACTCTGGTGAAAGTCGCAACAGGTCGACCCGTCTTTTCGCTCACCCGTTACCCCTTTGTCCTGCCTTTTCCTTCTGCACCCCCACGTAGCCCTGTTCCTCTTCCCCTGGACTCCACATTTTTCCTCGATCCACGAAAACTCTGTTCCGGTGATTACGGTATTCTGGCCGAGAAATTGATCGATAATTCGTTCCCGTCTACTGCAGGCTGTTTCAACGGTTTCACGGTTGGCTAATTGAGAAATAAATGAACTCCACGCGATGCACGAATAGACGGGTCCATTCATTATTCCGTGTAAAGCAGCCAGCCGTCCGATGGAGAGTAAAAGCATGCTCGACGATTCCTCTTGGATACGTAATGGTGATCGATATCGCGTTAGAGTACTAGTTCGTCCGGAGAAGTATTAATATCACGACGAAGCATCGACGCTGGTGTATTTATCACGAGCATCCTGGACGTCGTTTTCTCCGTTCGCGCGGGATAAATCCCATTTCCAGCTCCGAATTTCGTTCCGCGTCCGAAGTTGCAGGTTCGATAAATACACCGCGTATGTACACAGTCGAATGGCGATTGGTCGAACGCATCGTATTCGGGCGGGAATTGATCTGCTATCGAAGTGGGTCATTTTAACGAGTTCCATTCGCTCCGATTCCGAGCGCGAAAACTGTGCGTTCGCGGGTCGAGGAGGAATATATCTCTCCTTTTCCCCTGACAAAGGGGCCAAGACCTTCCGGAGCGGTACCGATGTTCCTGTATCGGTATCCAAAGCCTATCCCTTTTTCTCTTTTTCTCGGCAAATGGCTTTGGTCAAGAGCACCCATTGAATTCTCGGCAGGGAGCCGGTATCTCTCTATGGCCAAGTGCGATGCTCTTTCAACCGGAGGGAAAAAAAGAACCAATGGTTTTTCGTTTTAATCTCCCGCACGCTCGCAGCCTCGTGCACGAGCCGACTCATGGGGGCGAGTTCCTTCCTCTTCCTCTCTCGTTGCTTTTGCGTATGCACTCTCGAACGTGTTTCCGTGGCATCGATGGGTGGGAACGTGGTACATTTGACGTTTTATATTTCCCATCGTCGTGTGCTCGCCAATTCTATGGCTCGTCTATTAATTTAGCCGGTAGGATCGGAACGGATCGGTATCCATATTGTTGCCGCGTCTCTGGGAATACGTTTCCGTATTAGGGAACGCATACCGAACGGTTTCGCTTTATCTTCGATCTCTGTTACTCTTTTCTATGCTATATTCATCGGCATTAATAGTAGGCTAATTTTATTAGACGTATCTCATGGTTAATCTACCGCGAGTACTTAAAGGTTCCCGCGGAGGACTGGTCGAGTGTTCGACCAGGCACATGTAACTCGTAAAACGACAACGTTAGCCGCGACTGACTCGCCTAATTAAGTATGCTAATCGACTCAAAAACTCGCTCGTACCAGCGACCCTGGAAATCCCAGAGAACGGAGCGGAAAGAAAGAAGTTGCCTTTTATTGCTATCCTCCTGGCATCATCGATGCAAGTTACGAGATTCCGCCGCGTTAACGATAATGCGATTTATGTTTGTCTCTAAGCAACCTCTAATCTAACAGCTTGTAATAATAGCAGGTACGTGGCGCGGAAAAACTAGTTGCGCCGATATTACGCGGTTTCACTAGCTCGTTAACACTTTCAACACGGTACCCTAATGAATTTTATAACGTTCCCTAACGAGGCCGCCTAGCTGCAGAAATTATAAATGGTACAATGGGATCGAACGTTCCGAAGTTCCTCGTTTTTCTCTCGATGATTGGCGCAAATTTTCCTTGATATTTAATCACGTTTGCTAATTTCCTAACGTTAATTCCTCCAAGCGCAGGGGATATTTGATCGAATAATGGCGCGCGGCAAACCCGTTGCACGGAGCAGACGTACGTTGGCAAGAATGAGCCGAAGTGTAATAACAGATGGCGCAAGAACGGGAGAATTTATGCCTTCTTTTACGTGCAAGAATGCGTCGCCAAGGAAATGCTCTTTTTCGCCAGATTTTTGCCCTGTCATTACGCTACAAGAAATACGATGATAATCCTCTGTTCTCAAAGGAACGTTTCGCGTATCCTCCAGCTCCCTCCTCATTCTCTTTCGAGCACTTCGTTTCGACTGCGTTTTTCTTCCCCTTCTCGAAATCTCGTTTTCTCGTTCCTCTTCTCTCGCATTCGACCAGACACGAGCATATTCCCCCGGTGTCTCGGCGTGTCTCGACGTCCAACCTCTTTCTCCTCTGATCGAATATCCCCTGTAAACAATATAAATTCCTCAGTCACTGGATCCCGGAAGAAGGAGTACCTACCGGCAAATTTCCCCGGCGCGATACATCCAGCAACGAATCCTTTGAAATCGTAATAAACCCGTGTTCTACCGACGAAAATCGACCGATCGTTTATGCGATTGGCTCGTATCGAAAATACTCGCGAGGCGTACGAATAGCCGGGAGACGTTTCAATAAAAGATGATCTTCTAAAAGCGTTACGGTTTCGGTTCATTGACTTGCCAACGCGTTCAAATACTCGTGACCCGGTTCCGCGTTGTCCATCCCTCGGGAAACCGGCGAGTTGCGAATTAAATTGACATTCGCGCATAGTCTCGCAAATGAAATTAACGCGGAATGAGTAGACGAGAGAGGTGGAAAAAAAAAGAGAGAAAGAGAAAAAAGGAACGAAGGCGATGTTCACTGGCTTGTATTCCGCAGCTCCGTCGTTCCGTCGACTATGAAGCGTGTTTTCACGCTCGAAAAAGCTTCGCGTTTAGCCGAGTGGAAAATGGGCATGCCGCTTACCCGAGTCGATTTTATATTTATTAATACGCCGATTAACAACCACCTGATGATCACGAATAGGCAGACAGGCGCCAGGTTACGACAAACTTCATTCGTCAAACGGTAACCCATTAGCTTGGCCATTCGGCTTGAGCGGGTCCGATCGTCCGTCGCCGAGAATTAATTCGTCACGCGAACCGTCTGGAGACCTGGTTAATTGACTTCGTTCACAATAGCCGGGACGTGATTTCCAGAAAAGCGGAAAACATCGTACGCGTGCCAATTAGCGCGAATCTGTTTCGCAATTACATCGTCTAACGAACGATCACCGACCCACGCATCCTGTTCGTTGGTATCCAGTGGAAACTCGATTACCCTTGGTCGAATTCGAGTGGTTCCGAGCGAAAAACACGAAAACGTGGAAGGTTCGGCGAATCGAAATGTGGAGTGACGATCGGTGATGACCACGCCTACGCTGCTACACGAGAGGCTTTTTACGCTACGCGTCCTTCCAGTTGAACCGTAATTCCTTTCTTCGGAGATCGACCAAGCCCGTTACCGTTATTCGAAAATGCTTAGAAAATATTTGTACGGCCTGGTTTTGTGACACCGAAACCAGGCGGTGGCTGCATTTCACGTCGCCAGAGGTGGCCTACACCTCGACCAGTTCTCTCCTCCAGTTTTCGTCTATCTCCAATTCGACCCGATAGCAACAACGTCTCGTATCCTCGGAGGCCTTAAATTCCTCGGGCCCGGGAAAAATTCTCGTCGCGTAATAGCTTATAGTTGTAACCGCGGTGCAAAAGTCGAACAGACTGCTAAGTAAACTGTGCTGGAGAGATGCGTAAGTACGATTTTATGCTAAGTGGAGAGGCGTCCGCGCGCAGGTTATGTACCATCGGTTAGAGAGCACGCACGGAAGATGCTATCGAAACTGTTTCCTCGTCGTGTGTCGGCGGTATTTGCACACCGTGCAAGCTCCTAGGAAACGTAAATTATTCATTAAACCCGCGAACGAAACGTAGTCACGTTCTCGTTCGTTTACCGTCAATTTTTCATCTCGGTGCTGCTCGAGAGCGCGCGAGGAATCTTTTTCATTCGGTTTTCATTCAGGATGTTCTTCTCTGTGTGCCACCAATGCCACGGGGAAACGTGCATTAAAACACTTTCGCGGCCCGTGGTTCGCACCTTTCACTAGAAATTAGATTAAACGGCGCAACCGCTTCCACGTATCTCTTTCGAGTGCCATGTTTTCCTTTTTCCCCGCGCCGAGCACGTACGCGCTATTTCGTTCGGACAATGAGGCCTCGTGCCGCGTTTAATGGAACGTATCGGGGAATCTAGTACATCTACCGTTTGAATCGGTTTGATACAGCCAAGCCACGCCATTCTTTTCACCCGACTTTTGTACACCGTGCCCATTTTTCATCGTCATCGTGACCGATCAGCTATTTATCCGGGGCTTCCACGCGTTTTCTACTTCTCAATAGCAATCCACTCGTCGGCCGGATTAATCGAATGAAAGAAGCGGTCTGTGTCGGGGCGAGTTGTACAGGGGCATGGTAAAAATAAACGGGGGGAAAAAGGTACAGTTGCAAGATCATCGGATAAAACGAAAGCGTAATATCGTTCTACTTGTGGACATGAATTAGCATTATGGCGGAGGATGCATACGTGATTCCACGCTCGGAACCAGCCTCGTCCAGGTTCAACTTTAGTTATAGACACGACGTGAATTCGCGTCTCGTAATTCACTATCCATTCCTTTGTGCCCCTTTCTTAACGAGTTCCTCGGTTCTACGGATTTCCGCCAACTGTGCGTGACCAATATTCGCTACTGGTTTATCATCCATTTAACCCGATTTACGGCTACTTAAGGGGCAGAGGAAATTGAAACGTAGCATGTTCATCGATATATTTTCACCCTGTTTCGCGAAATCCGTGCACCGCGAGCGACCGGTTGACAAATCGGTTGCGTCACGAACTGGTAAAAAGCAGATACGATTACACCGATATTTACTCGGATATTGTCGGTGCTTTTACGCTTGCTATTAATAGTCCAGTCTATCTCGTTTCTCGACCTCCTCCTGTTGATCGATTGCTATTTAGTTAAACGCGGCAGCTAGCATAGATACGGTTGATAAGCAGCGCTTATATCTCGCATGATACGAAGTACTTTGGCGCACACGCGTGTAAAAGGATAATCTCGGGTACTCTGTCGATCGAGTAGACGTCGGTTAAACGCGATTTATCGCCTAATACCAGGCAAAGAATTCGAGATTTCGTTCGGTCTCGATAGCCGGAGCGGATCGATGGAGGAAAATGGCGAACGGTACGAAATGGATGATGCTATTCCACGACTGTCCGTTGTTTCTCGTTATTGGCATCGTTAATCACCTTTATGAATCCCCGTACGATAGATAGCCATCTCTGATCTCGGGCTCGATCGGATCGGCCGTCGAAAAATGAGAAGTCACCGTTTTAATCATAGACCCCGACGAATCAACCCTTTTCGCTCGTTTTGCCTCTTCTGCCCTCGAGATTAGATGCATACCGCGCGAAGGTCGTCAGCATCGGTCAACGATCGATCAAAGTTGAAAAGTGCTCGCGAGTGGATCTCGGACGTCGCTGGATCGCAACCTGATCCTTGATTCCGCGGAACCGTAGTCCGTTCGATCCATAAACCAGTCGGCTGTCCTTTCGGGAACGACACCGTTACCGTAGCTCGATTCATCCATCCGCCGATGCTTGACTTACTTCGCTGACCTGAAGACCCAGTGAACGTGTTCTCGTGAATTTCAAACATGTGTCGTTCATTCCTAATTCCCCGTTCCCGGTCGTCTAGCTTCGCTGGCTCGCGTTACAACCTGCCGATCGAAATCGACTTCTTGCCTCGGATCGGACATTTACCGGTGTTTAACGCCGCGAATTCCTGCTCGTTTAAGGGAACTCGGCCGATCTTTACGATCGACATTAGTGGATAAAGAGAGAGAGAACAGGGGAATGGCGTAAAGAATTAGCATAGCGTTCCTTCACGATCTTCCGCTAGTTTACAAGCGATCTGAGCAACGTGGCCGAGAGCTGTATCAAGTTATACACCGAGGCAGTGGTAACCGGTAATGACATGCGCATAAAAGATTTCGTGTATTCCTGCGGGAAAGTACTCGCTGAATGTGCGGTATTTACGCCCATACGGCAACCAAATGCTCGTCACGTTTTCTCGATGTCAGCTGACTTCGAACGAATCGCCACGTTAAAACGTGAGGATTCCTTCAGCTATCGGACCTTTTATTAGTATCATTCCGCGCGAGCTTGTTGTCTGACGTCAACAATCGATTTGTAGTCGAGAAAGATACAACGGGAGAAAGATCGGCCGGAAAATACGATTTAACGAAGGAGATATACGAGGATATCGTCATAGTAAAGAGGGTTACGATCGTTGTAATTGAACAGCCGCAGAAATAAGATCCCCGTTTAACTTCCTCATACCGGCTTTTCCTCGGTAGTTCGTTATTCTTCCACGTATTTCTATCATCTAGTCGTAAAACGCGGGATTTAATATTTCGATCCGGCTGCGACGTGGCCAGATAGTTTTTCACTGCCAATGTTCCCCAACGATACCGTTCCAGGGATCTTATCAGCAGGTTTCGTTTCATTTGCCAATATCGTGGCGTACATTGAGGATAACGTGGGAGAAAAAAGGGGGCAAAGGATAGACATTATTGGAACATATCTATCCGACCTGTCGGTTTCACGCTCTACTTTTCCGGTTTCCGCGTCTCTAATGATTTCTCTGGATTATTAGCAAAAAAAGCACCCAAGTTATGACGCGTTTCCTCATTTGCACCGGCGAGAAATCACGCAAATGAGAAAGCCACGAGAGAGAGGAATAGAAAACGACTAGAAGCGATCCTGATTCCGGGGCGACTCACGTTCGTCCATGAGCTCGGCTGTTCCGCCTGTGTCAGAGCATCGTGATCGTTCAGTCATTTCCACGATCGAGGGTTGTGGAACCCTGGCCTAGACTTAAGTAGGTATGGAGGTAAGGTCGAGGTCACTTTCATGGCTCCTTCCTCTCGGTGAACTAGCCGGGGATCGGCGTAAATTAATGGCTGCATCACGGGTTAAAGGCTTTCGCTTCACTTGCCGGTATCAATGAAACATCGAGGATCCTCGACGATCATCCCGTCGGTCGATTAATTTTCCTCATTCATCCCAGTTAACTTTGCGAACCGGTTGCGTTAAATCGCATTCTACTCTCTTGGTAAAAGAGAGAACGAACGGCGCTAGTTTATATTTGCAGCACGATTTTCGATTCAGCTGCGATCCAAGTGTAAGTAGAATCGAGGTCGCTTTCGATGTGCATCTGACGCGGTGAAACAGTTGTTAGCTCGAACGCTGATCGACCTCTCCGGGCTATCAATAATATACTGCTAATTAAGGGTCGGGGTCGTTCTCGTAAAACGTTTATAACGCAATGAAACTCGTTGCTGCTAGGCTGGCTCTCCTGGTCCTGTTTACACGCCATCGATCAGATTACAGACAGATCTGAGATATGATTAGATGATATTGGCAGGTTAGTAAATCGATACCGAACTCAGTTTAAATTGCCAGATAATGGCAAACCAAATGCGAAACGAACCGAACTAAATTTTCCATTTAGTGATGCCAGTAAATCGGCCGGACCAATTTCGCGGCCATTTTCTGTCACGGTCGATCATATTATATCGCTCGTTAACACGTCGCGTTGTTTAATCGGTAACGAAGGTTTCTCGGCTGTTTGTTGTAGCTCATTCAGCATACCTTTGGATCGGAGACATGGTTAAATTTCTTCTTTAACACCTTGGCCATCGAGTGTGCATACTTCGGTATCATCCTGCTAACGCTTTCCGATTATTAAATTCGTTTGATCCTTAATTCGTAATCGCTGGAAAGGAAGACTCGTGGTCGCAGAATGGTTGAACCGATCATTGTCCTCTTGGTAGCCAGGAGGAACGTCGACCTTCGTCGATAATTACCCTTTCTCTGTAAAGCAGTGATGCGTTTCTTCTTAATCACTCAATATTCCGTCCCTCTTACCTCGTTTTACTCTAATTACCTTTAATACGCAATTTCCTTAAACATAAACGCTCACGTACGCTTGTACACTTACTTCTCACGAGATCCCTTTCCCCTCTGGCGGTCGCTATTCAATGAAAACACTGGCAAGGTATCAGGCCCAAGGAAATCTCGAATTACATACGAAGGTTTATGCTCGCTACCACCAGATGAAACATCCTTATGGGATTCCAAAGGCTTTTACTACCGCCACGCGGATATTCAGCTACGATGGTGCACGCTTAGGCGTCGTAACTCATGTTCCCCGTGGCGCGAAATCGATCGTACGAATTGTTCGAAATGCATTCGCACGAACTCCACGGAATTGCCATTCCATGGAGATTTTATAGCGACAACTTCGACGAATCCGTAAAAGAACCGGGCCGAAATTCTCGATTCGCAGGTAACGTTATACGCGATTCGCGTGTCTTCCCGTTATCCAAATCCACGCGAAAAACGTAGACCCGACTATAGCGCCCCCGCTAGCGGCGGCGGCAGGGACTAAAAAAAAGTACAATTGGTCAGCGCCGACGGCCATCTCTCGTTACCGTTTCCACGAGACCCGGGATGAGCGGAGAGTTAATCGAGATCTTGCACGTGTATCGGATACATACACGTAGCCACGAGAGCGTTTCATCCGTGCTAGCGTTCTAGTCATGGTATAGCGACGGTCCCGCCGAATATCATTCATTCACGGTTCAGAGCATTGAATAACATTTACAAGATTCGTGACCGCGAGCAACGATCTTACCGTAACCGAGGTGTTAATGCGAATCGCAGTCTAGCTCGGAACACGTGTCCGACCAGCGTATTGGAATCCAACCAGTATCCATCCATCCCTTTATACTATGCTCCTTCTTCTTTTCTGCTCTTTTTAATTTCTATTCGTGGCGTCCGATAACCCGTACGAGGACATCGTACCTACGGTGTACAACGCGTTCAAGGTGTTCGACGACATGAGCAGCCAGCGGCAATTTCTGAAAAGATAAACCGAACATGAAAACGCGGCGCATGGTGTCCGCGCATGCACGCAACACGCGGAAGAGAAGGGCAGGAAATGGCAGCACGCGACGCAATGGCCGATTGAAATTTCAGCCGATCGCATCGAGGCACGCACCGCTCGCAATTTTCTGTCCACCACCGAGCACAGGAAAGCGTGCGTACGCTTCGGAATTTTCACGCGGAGCGAGAAGGGTGACGCGTGACAAAAAAGCACGCGAACGACTGTGAAAAAGAAGCGGACGCGTAGGTTGGACCGTAGGTACGCGACATGTACGGTCGATCGGAGGTTTCTCCGATGTAACGGATCGGCGTGAGCGAACGGTTGCGAGTGCACACACGCGTTCACGTGCACGCTCGTGGGAGATCGAGCCGATCTGGGAGGTAGTTTTTCGCCCCAGTACTCCACTTACCACTCGCCACTTAAACCGAACGCGACGATTTATGGAACGCGACTCGTTTGTCGTGTTCCTTCACGAACAACGGCACACATACTGGCGTTTTTATCGGTGCTAGGGCCACGCGCTTCCTACGTGGCGTCATTCCGATACACAGCGCGTCAACGTAATTTCGATAATTCATCTTGTCACCGAATTTTCTCGGTCGAGCTGCTTTTTTACGATTCCCACACTGATCGATCAATGGTAACGTTTCCTTTCTCGCGTTCGATATCGATCGATCCAATCATCGTTTTCTACGTTGTTCTTCTAAATTGCAAACATTCGACAATTGCCAACGGCGAAGATCATAATGGATTCCGAGGCCCCAGACCAGTATACCCTAACGTTTCAAAATATCCTAGGATTTAATTAATTTTTTGTTCCTGCTTGAAATACAAATACGTCTCTTATACAGTTAGAGGAGATATCTCTGAACCGGTATTTCGTGATTAGCATTTATGATCATTGTTTCGGCTGAAATCCAATAGAGGGAATTACAGTCGTCGTCTTTCCCTTAACGGGTGTAGCCGTGATGCGTCGCGCCACCGAATACACGCGAAACCTGTTTTGATTAGCAGCTGCCAGCTAACTCGTAATTAGTGGTTTCGCTGCTTGAAATATTCGACGCGGTACCATGAGTGACTGTCACACGTTGTAAAATTAAACTAAAGAATTAAATTATTTAGTGGTTTAATACGATACGTATATGTGTGTGCCTTTTTATCGAGGAATTATGCATGAAGCGAAGTTTCGACTGTCCGACTCGACTGGTATATCTTTGACCGGTCAAGACAATAAATCATACAACTTCGTCTTTTCCTGTGAAGCGCGTTTGAACCGCTTCTTTACGACATTATCGAAACAATAGCGTTGCTAGGCAGGAAATGGGATCGTTTCGCCGAGATACGGAAGTAGCGACGATACACACCGTCGTTAACGTGTAAGATTCTTTCGTCGCGGAGACACGGTCGACCAAAGATAAAGTAGGGAACAATGATACTCCTCGTCGCGGAACTTCGCAAACCGGCCGTCGCGATAGTTATGACAGTGCTCTCGAACATTCTTGACGCAACGGTCGAGTTTGCCTAACGATTTTGCCATTTCCGATCCCGATTCGGAAACAATCGACGCGAATGGTGGATCGTGCGGCTTTAATTACGTCGGCTCGCGTGCTCCATAACAGAAATAAAGGCTCGTTAATGCAACGCAGCGCGGACGTGTTACGGGACAATGCTATGAGGAAGACGAGATCGTTTCGCGGTGATAAAAGGGGCCGGCTACGTCGAGATCAGCCGTGGCTACGTTAGAGAGGAGGCTGCATGAGAAACGAGCGGTGATGCAGAGCCTGAAACCATGAAGCACGAACGACCTTACCGTGATTTTGACGCTATCGATTACGAATGATTTACGCGGTCGTTCCTTTCGTTCTGGTCAAGATACTGTCCCGCGCACGCGATCATACACGGGCAGATCTTGTGGTCGAGATCGTTGCTGGAATTAATGAATTACTACTTCACCTTTTACGTTGCTCGTGCTTTTGTTTAACCTTTTTCTGCCTCTTTTATCCCCCTCCCTTCTCGCGTATTAACCGGTGAAATAGCCACGAAGGCTGTTAAATCCGGATCGAAGTTATCGGTCAAGCGTGTGATTACCGATTCGTTGAAATTTTACGAGTGTGCAGTGTAATTGTTACCAATTTATCGATTGCGAATCTTCGTTAGCGAACAGGTTCGTAACGATTCGAGAATAAATTAATGGAAACAACCCCGTATATAGTTCATTCGCGGAAGGATTGTCGGCTATTCGAGTTCAAGGAAGAGCTGCGCGGAGTCGTGCACGCTCGGCTTAGATAACCGATCACGAGCACACGGCGCAATTTGTCAAGCGGCCCGACGAATCATTCATCGGAATCCGTAGAAACTCGGAAAAGTATTGCACGATTCCGGCTTCCGCAGGAACATCCTTCTCCCTGCCACCACGTACACGAATAAGTATTCACTGCCTATTTATCAACCCGTTGTATACCGATGTAATGTCACGGCGGTCGTTGGCAGCGTTAATTAAGTCGAACACCGGTTGATCCGTCCACGGAGATTTCACGGTACGTCGTTACTCGTTTTCGCGCCGCCGTGCATTCTTCGCCGTGCTATTTCGTGCATATATCTTGTTCCCATGCGGAAGATGGATTTTCATACGGTTTAGTTTACACGTTGCAACCTGTGTCGAGCTTAATTGACACCGGGTGACTTAAGATTCACGAGAGGCGTTCGCGTTCGTAAACGGATCACGGCTCGTTTAATTATCTTACCACGAATCAAAGATTCTGTCATGCGAGCCGCGATCGTACGAGTGCGCTTCCAACCGCAACGTCCATCCAGTTCATCTAACCTAACGTTTTTCTGTCCGTGTCTCCAGGAATAGCGGCCAGGAAACAAGAACAAAAGCCGCAGTCCCGCACATTGTTCATTTTATTTATGAGCCACGGCTTATTCGTATCAAATCGTTCCGGTTCGTTAAACAGATCCTTATTTCTCTGTTATCGATCTCCGAGAGCTGGATACGAGTTGCCCGTGTTCCTCTCCCGGCTTCTCGTTTCGTGGACAAAAATCCAAGGAGCAGCATCCACCCGGTCGGCGTGCATCCTTGCCGTGGTTCACCGACCCGCATATTTCTCTCCCCCCTCTCTCTCACCCTGTCACACTCTTTCCTTCCCTCTCCCCCCTCCACCTTTTCCCCTCAATCTCCCTCTACCTCTATCTCTCTCTCTCTCTGTCTTTCGCCCTGTACCTCTCGTTCTCGCGCGTTCGAGCAAGTGGCGCGCATCCATTGTGCACCATCCTCCGCATGCATGCACGCGCTCGCTCGCGCGACCCGTACAACTTCTACGGGGATATAATTCGATCTGCATTGTTCGCCAATCGCCCCCTGGCCAGTCTGGTCGCTCCGTTATTGGCATAATTGATTCACTTAATCGCGTTCGTGGGAGTGACGGACACCTCCTTCTGCCGCCCATCAACACCGCTAATCACACGTCCATTTGGCCAACCGACGTTCACTCCGTGGAAGAATCTGATTCTCTCTTCTCCCTCCTTGGCTATCTATCTGTCTCAGTCTCCTCTGTGCTCCCTTTCGTCTCCTTATTCGCCAACCGTTCTGCCTTCCCCCACCACTCCGCCGTCCTTTTCGCCTTTTCGCTCGACGCGCATCTCTCGTGCGCCTTCTTCTGCTCGTAGTCATACGCGCGGGAATTATAATCGTTTTTCTTGTAATCTACGTTTTCTTCCCTTCGGTCTCTACGGCATAGGCTTTCCTTTTTCTCTTGCGCCTCGAGCGGCTCGATTAAACTCGCGCGCCGCTTCGTTAATCAACGCCGACGATTTTATGCGACGCGATTCGGACCCATGAAATCCACGGCATCCGGCAGTCAGGCTTCTCCTTAAAGATCTTTAACGATCCACGCTGCCACCGAGCTTCTCGGATCGTAGCGAGCGATCTAAAACATTCTCCGTTTCTGCAACATAAGACCCGTCCCTCTTTCTCCTCCTTTTCTTCCTTTTCTCATGACGGAAATTCAATTTAGATATCGTCGCGGTGCGTACAACATACATAGGCGTACCGCGACCGAGCTATATTAGCCCGATATCGTTCGATCGATAAATCGTAATCGTCGTAATTACGGTGAGTTTACGCTCGTAAAACTCGCATCACGCTTATCTCTGGCCGTATTCGGTTATTAGCGTGCTTTGGCTCCCCGCGAAGCAGGAAGGAGCGTAACTCGATTATTACGCGGAAAAAGGCTGTAATATCGGCAACGTTCGCGGCGTCTTTGTGAGGTGCGGTGGCCGAGCAGGAAGAACCACGGTCCCCTATATTACAATGCGTATCGGGCTATCTCGTTCACTTTGTGAATTCGAGCGCAGATTCTCGGATTCAGCAAGCTACGAATTACCGTCGCAGGCGAACGGGATATCGGACCGTTCGCCCTGATCGCGCGCGATTCCAGCAAATTGTATCCCGAGGAGAGTCTAACTCGATCGTTACGCGAAAGGAGCCGCGTCCTAGCCATCGCGATCCCACCGAAAAAATCTCTCACGAGCTCGAACGTCGTTCTTACCGGCGTGTATACGCGCGCGATGCGTGACTCCGATCGTAGATAAATTATCGAGTTGGGAGAACGGAGAACGTATCGTCCATTAAGCTCGTATTGTTCACTTGACATTCCAGTAACGACCAACGAACGTACCGGTAATGCAGTTCGCTCAAGATCCCTACTTTTTTAACTGCCCGCAAACGCGCCACCGTCTATCCGCGCATGTCATCCTGGATTAGAGAAGGACAGAGACAGGGGCACGTGTTATATCTCGGACGGTTGTTCCGTGCATCTGCCGATTAGTCGCGTGATCGGCCTTCGTTTAAATTATTTCCTTGATGCGTTTGCCTGTCCACGATATCGCGCGCGACCGCGCCCCGCGCCTTACTCCTTTGGTTATCTTTAACTGTACAGCTCGATTTTATAATTTGTTACATATTATGCGAGCCGGTGTAGAACGACCGTAGTAAATCCCGTGTGCTGTTGACCCGGCGATCACTGGACCGAAACCAAGCCAGCGGACCCGTAACGTAGAGATATCTGCGCGGAGGGTCAACAGGAAGCAATTAAAGTTTCGACAGAATCTCTCGGTTTAACGTTACCATTACACGTCGTTGCCGCAAAAAAGATTGCAGGACGATTCTCGGGACGAGCGCGCGCGCCATCTCGCTTCTTCCTTTCCGGTTTGCTCGATTATTTTTAACTCGACCTTTCACGCTCCGGGATGAACGCGCTCCACGCGCAGATCCGCTTTTTCGATGCGATGCATCGCCGTGAAGAAACGATCTAGGCTCCAATTACCAACGTTTCCTTTGATTCTTCGCAGGTATTTATCTTCTGCCAGTCACTTTCTTTCCTACGCTCACGCGTTCACCTTTCCATTGTAATTATGCCATTATGGCTAACGCTTACCGCTGGTTTAATAAAGAAGACCTTATGCGTCTTGATGGCTTGCTATAAACCGAGGTAACAGTAAATGGTATTTCGTTTTACGATACCACGTGGTACATCGTCGCGAAAGAAGTAGCTGTGCACGTGTTACTTTCTTTCCACGAGATCGATCACGTACGCTTAACGAGATAATTCACGTCTCTACGCCAATGTCTCCGCAGATTTCGTGACCGGCGCCTGTCCCCGAATATGCCCGCCAAGCGGAGAACCAGTATGCGGTAGCGACGGCGTGATCTACGCGTCTCAGTGCGAAATGCGGAAGAAGATGTGTGGAAAAGGTAAGGGGCCGTCTTTAACCATAATAATTATGATTAGAACATGCGTACGTGCGGCTGGGCTTCGTCTCGCGATTATACAGTTGTTTTACAACGTCCGTCTAAAGGGGGCGCATCGTCGGTTACCATCCCAGACACTCGGCTCTCTTGGGTTTCGCGTGTCGAACCTTAAATACCACCTTAAATACCACTCCATACCATTAATGATAATCTATTAAGAGTAAACGCGCCGTATTTCGCGCATTCGAAGCCACCGATCGGTACTGCAGAAAGCAACACCTTCCTTCGGGGCCCGTAATTATCGGTACTTTACAAATTACATAGGCGTGACCGTGGCCACGGAGAAGACCGCCTGCCTAAGATCGTCCGGTAGCAAGTGCGAGCATCGTTGCCCAGGCGATCAGGATCCGGTATGTGGCACCGACGGCCGCACGTATCTGAACAAGTGCATGCTGAGAGTGGAGATCTGCCGAGTCGGCATCGAGCTGTCGCACCTGGGCCCTTGCAACAACATCTCCGCGCACAGAGAGAATTGTCCGGTCGCCTGCGACTTTGCGCCACTCGACGGACCGATCTGCGGAAGCGATGGCAACGTCTACAAGTCTACGTGCCAAATGAAATTGCTCACCTGCGGGTACGTGGGTTTGCTTGTTTTCTCTATGACGGTCGATACAATCGACGTCGTTACCATTACGGTTTGTAGGATATTCTAGGATCCCGTTCGCTCGGATACTAACGTTATTCCATCGTAGACAAGGCGTTGTGCGTACGAACAAGAAGCATTGTCAGACCACGAGACATTGTCGAGAATCGTGCTGGCGCGGTGCCAAACCAGCCTGCGGTAGCGACGGCATCCTCTACTCGAACACCTGCAAAATGCGAGCGAAGAACTGCGGGTAAGGAGCACATGCTCGAAAAAGTCCTCGAGCGGAGGCAGGCGCGCGCGACTTGTCGCCACGCCGCGAGTTAGTAGCAAACCTGTTCCTGTTTTCATGTCATCGGACTCATCGTTGATATCAATCGTTTAGCAAACACGTGTTCGAGGTGCCGATGTCCTACTGCGTGTCGCTGGAGCGGACGTCCGGCGGCCAGACAAACGCTTGTCCTTTGGACTGTAAATACGAGCCGGAAGTGCCAATCTGCGGATCTGACGGAAATATATACAAGAACGAATGCGAGATGCAAATGCTCAATTGCGGGTCAGTACTTGGACCGTGAATTTCGATTATTCTCGACGGTTTTTCAGGATTTTATTAACTCGGATGATTTATCGTTTTGATCCTCAGGCAAGCGAGAAGAAAGGTGACAGTGGTGGATTTCGAAAAATGCAGGAGCCGTCTGACCAAGTGCATGAAACAGCAGCAGAGATGCGGGAACGAGGTGGATCTAGTTTGCGGAAGCGATGCGAACACGTATCCGAATCAGTGCCATTTGAACGTGGCAGTATGCTTGTAAGTTTGCATTCCTG